AAAAAATGATCAAGTTTAATCCCCTACAAATAGATGCAATGTCAATCATCAAAAAGGAGTATTGGAGCTCTGGGAAGATTATCCTTCAAGGCCTTACAGGTAGCTGCCTGAATGTTCCACTATGATGTTCCACGGGGGGAAAAAGTTAAATCAAAAAATTATTAAAAGTTAAACAGATTCATAAAAAAATCCCACAAAATTCAAAGCTAGCATGTGAATTAAAAAAACCCAAACAATTACATGAAATGAAAGGCCTAAATAGTTATTTCAAATTAATAACTTCCTCACTGAAACAAAATGTGCCACATAAAACCACTTGTTACACGACACAAAGGCCTGCAAAAACAAACAAGTAATTTATTTTTTACTGAAAATTATAATCCTTTGAATTTCGTTTGGAAAAGAAAATCGAGATTTTGAAAAAGCACGTATATATCAAGTTGTACAAATGACATACGATATGCCTAACCTATACTATACGCTATTAATACCTCTTGGTTTAGCTTCACAGGTCACGGTTTCAAAAAGCTAAGCACGTTTAGTTTCATGACGTTCAAAACGATAAGCGTTTGGCAACAGTATTTACTGTACGCTTCATAAAATACCGCTCCACACAGTGGCAATAACAGAAAACAACAAAACTAAAAGCCCCATTCTGCCCAATGTAATTACAGAATATCTTCACTATATAAGCACTAACATTAAGATCACCTATAAATATAATCTCTGAAACTAATGATTGAGTCATTGTTGGGTCCGAGTTGGTCGTGCTTGGGTCCGAGTTGACCTGATACCCTCGGGATGTGGCAAATGAATTAGTCTGGCACTTCAGTCGCTCCCGCTTTGCGGCTACTAACTGTCATTATTGTAGAGCAAACCGATTGACGGTTGTTGAATCGGTGCAAAGTTCACCAACAGAAGTACAAGTGTGATGGAACTAACATCACGCATATAGTTCTATGAAAGAAGAACAAATTGCCGCAAAACTATAATACGTCAAGCATCCAATGTTGACGGCCGATAGCCAATTGGGCGGAGCCTGCCTTGGAACCCCCCCCCCAAAAAAGGTCAACATTTCCGACAATTTCACACAATAATTCTGTGAATGTCCCGTTTTATTATCCACTTTTGTACCAGAGACGGCCGGATCCGCCCTTTACCACTTAGTACCCTACAATTTTATACCGATTCCCTTAGCTAGCTGGAAAGAGAGAAAGGAAAAGTGACGGGCGATAAAAACAAAAATGCGGACTGATCCGGAATGGATTCCGAAACATAATTATGCAAAAGCGATACAAAATCCAAATCAGACCAAAACTAAAAGGGATTAAACGTTTTAGACTTAAATTCATTCAATCGAATAGATCGAGTTTTCTCCCTCGCCTTTTCACTTGATTCTTTTTTTTAAGTATTTAAATCTGCAATTACAAGTATTTTTCACTCTAAAGTCCCGTTGTAGATGTTAATTTCATTCAATAAGACATCGTAAACAAGAGAGTATATTATTCCTGTACATTATGACCCGTCAGTTTTAATTCGAATTACACCTCAAAAAGTCAAAACAGATAAAAGTGGCCTGATATTTGCCTTACCAGTGCCTTCCTCAGACGCAAATGACGGACGAACACGAAACAAACATAATGGAGACACAAAAGCGTGCAGGGTTGGGAGATGGGGGGGGGGAGTCAAATGGGATAAGGGAACAAAGCTGTGTGCGGTGGTGTGGTATAAGTGTTTCCTAATATCTCCTTTGGTCTTCACCCACACTGGTCCCCCCCCCCCCCCAATGGACCGATCAAGTATGCACCCCCCCCCCTCCCCCCCCCCCCATGGTATTCTGACCAATCACAGCCGTGATTTATGTCCGACATGCGTGCACAAAAGTCCGACATGCGTGCACGCGCGTATGATGCGCGCGGCAGGAAAATCCGGTTCGTTAGTAAAAACGTCATACACGCGCGCACACCACTGATTACTAGCGCCCATTGGCTGCAAACGCTCGAGCTGCGTTAACTTCCGGTTCCAATCGTGCAGAAAGTGCTGGAGGTGACGTCACACTAACGAACCGGATGCAGCTGCGTGGCATTGGAGAGGAGCACGTGTTAATTTGCCCACGTGCGCAGTGGGAGGGGCTTACTGGATCGGTCCATTCCGCGCATTTGTGTTCACGGTTCTCCTTCCAACCCTGCATGCTTGTGTGTCCATAGTGTACAAGCATTACATTCACTGTGTGGACTTCCGAACAAAAGATGTCCACATAAACCAGGTAGCAGCGACGTTGTGTGGACTTGCCCACGTCCACACAAGGCTTCCGGATCCCCTCTCTGGAAAACAGGTTTAGAGGCATTTTGGGCGTTAGGTTTATCGATGGCAAAATGAGGAGAAACACTCAAGGGAATCATAGGTTGAAAGAGTTTTAGTAAAATGCGTTCTTTTAGGCCAAAAAAATAATAAGTCGGTCTCTGGTCAGCGCGCGCGTCGATTTTAATCATGCGCGTCAATCTTTTTTTTTTTCCAAAATGTTCCGCGGTAGCTCCAACAGCGCCCTCTATTGCCGCACCTCCTCAATTTTTACCAAAGAGCACCAAGGAATGGGAAATTGCACCAAGGCAAATGATCGAGAGCACCAAGGCAAATTATGGAGGACACCAATGTACATGAGGACACCAAATAGTACCCCACCTTGTCTGTACAATCCAGGCTTGAAGAAAAAAAAAAGCCAAAAAAAAAAAAAAAAAAAGCCGCGTCCCCGCGTCAATTCCGGAACTTTGGTCTGACCAGAGACCGAATATTTTTTTTTTGGCCTTATCAAGGGTTTTTCTTAACCACGCGAAACAAAGGAATGTCCACACTAGGTATGTAACGTAAAAATGTGTGTCCCTATGTTAGTTTCTTGTTCTTCTATCATTTGCCGCTGAAGGCCTTGCTAGGGCTAAATGTTTTGATCATATTTCAGGTCAATCCAGTTAGGCAGGTAGCAGTTTAATTGAAGCAGTTTAATTCACTTTTACCTCTAAAAGTTGGAGAGAAATGAAATCATTTCATGTAATCGTTACTAATCTGTTATCTTTTTAAATACAACATCTCGTGGCGATATATTTTAAATTAAGAACGATTGATGATCCAAAACTATATTGGCTGGGATCTCCCCCCCCCCCCCCCCAGAATTGTATTACCATATTATGCATGGATGGAAAAAGCTCCTATATACCTGCTTACGAATCTAGGAGCAAAAGCAACTGGGTTCCCAATTAAAATAACGAGACTTAACATGTGAAGTTGTGAGCTAGCTGGGCAGTGCTATCTAACGGGATTACCCAATAAACATTAATGCTTCATCCGGTCCATTGTACAGACGATGTCTGCAGAATGGACTAGAATTTGGAACGCTATAATGGCCTTTGTACTTTTTAGGAACCCTCATTTTCTTTATCAATAATTTATTATACGAATTAGTTAATCCGGGAAAGCCAAATTTGACAGACGGTATTTGCAAATGGGATGAGATGAGATAATAAGTCGGTCATTAAACCGGCGAAAGTGCACGCACGGCGGACCACCTACGCAAAGAACCTGGGCAAGTCTTATGGGACAATGGGGAAATTACCGAGGTTTTTTTTCTCCAGTAGTAGTCTATCCGCTGATTAAATTGTGGCACGAGGGGCCTCATATACTGTCATTATGCCTAACCATGAGAAGGGTGTCCGCAGAGACTCGATAAAGATTTATCATCAGTGCAGAATACAGTAATGTACGGGGAACTTGGAGAAGGAGCCTTATTTTGTGGAGGTGGCAGTCGCTTGGTTTTGGGAAGAGAGGTGATGTGGGAGCTGGGAGGCCTTAACTTGCCGGTGTAACGGTCTCAATCAGTGGCGTAAATATGTGCCGGCGGGGGGGGGGGGGGATAGGAATGATCAAAATCCAATAATTGCCCGACCGTAGAAATTCGCAAAACGGTGGGGGGGGGGGGGGGGTTGCTGGACACTTCATTACACTGGGGGTCCTCTTCAGGATATATATCAATATGTATACTCGCGCTTACTTCAAAAAAGCTTTTGTACTTTGTTTATCCATCACCTTTCAGTGCTATTGAATACATTTTGGCTGTTGGGATGCTCGACAAATACTACGAATTCTGCATTTTGTTTCTCATCACGGAAAAGTGTGTATGTGTGTGTGTGTGTGTGGGGGGGGGGGGGGGGGGAGATTCAATAGCGCATCCCCCCTGGTCGAAAAGGGGGGGGGGGGTATATGAGGCCCCTCGTGCCCTGGGATTTACGCCCGTGGTCTCAATCATCGGGTCTGCTGGTCTTTACGGAAACCAAATTTTGGTAAACGCATGTGCAAAGTTGCGCGGTGATGCTTATGGATGCCAGCTTTGTGTTGTGTGCTGAGTTCCTCTGGCCATGGATGATTCATATTCCTCCATGCCCTGGCGTACAAGCAACTTTTATTGCCCGCGCCCCCTACTGGCTACGGGTGGTGTTTCCAATGTCCATGTAGTACCGACTCGATTTTCAAGAAAACTCTCCGTCCTAAACGTCTTTTCGGCATTTCTGCAACGGCGGATTTGGGGGGGGGGGGGCAACGGGGGCCATGACCCCTGCCCCCTAAAAAACCCAAAGACGGACCAGGGACCCCAAAAAGGCAGCCACTGCGTACGCGTACACAACCCACAAAATTCAACAAAAGCAATACATGGACACATTTTGGACCCACTTTTTCGGGGAACACAAAAATGTTACCCCCCCCCAAAAAAAAAATGTGTTCTGGATCCGGCATAGAGGAAGGAAAACAGATGGGATTTCAAGGGCAATTGAACTTATTTCCATAGAAAATTCAGAAAGGTTTCTTGGAAAAATTCCACTTCCCAACAATAAGTTTCTAGTTTACCTTAAAGGGGCCCCGTTCCTCCCTCTCCTACCCACCCCCATCCTCCCTAACTTAAGGTAAAATTTATAGAGGGCGCTGTTATTCTTCAACGGTCCGCGGTCGCGGACTCGTTAAGTGTGCGCGACGACTTGAGTTAAGGTTAGCCCCCTTCTACCGGCGTTGATTATTCTGTTGCTAAAACTTGTGGAAAACACTCTTCAAAATGTCTATGCTAAGAAACATACTTAGGTTATCTGGCTCCGTAAGGACATGCCAAAGTAGACTCAGAGTACCACAGCCGGTTAGATTCTATGCAGAGGATGCAGCTAAACCAGTAGCGGCGACGCAAATGTCGTTTACATTTGGCATGCCGGGACAGGTAAATGAAAATGTGTTAAGCATGTTAAGTGTAGTATTAATGGTAAAGGCATTTATTTCCGACAGTCAATTAAATAATGGAAGTGGCAAGTCACTAAGTGAGCAAGAAAGACTCATTAAACTTCAAGATGGACGTTTTACGTTGTAGAGTGTTGTGTTTCGTCATGTCAGAGAAAATTAGCCCAACAAATACCATCAGAATCGGATCGTGTGCTGATGTAACGACTAACGTCTGTCTGTCGTGTGCTTCATTTTGGCACAATGGCAGTTTTTGTTTTGATATTTAATTTGTAGGCCTAGGTCTACAATCATGTTTGTATATTAAAATTATTAATAATATATTTACCTCCGGTTTGATGACATCATCGGCTTAGAATATGCAGAGTGAAAGTTGAATGAGGATCAGCATGATCAGGTAAACAAACTGAAGCATGACAAAAATTAACTACACCAGTGAACAGCAGCATGCATCTGAAACCACTCATTACAACGTTACGCTTAACTTGACGATTGTTGATTTCCTCAACAGATGTTTTACAGTGATGCAGACGTGAAGCAGGTGGATGTACCCTCGGGCACCGGAACCTTCGGCATTCTTGCCCAACACGTCCCCTCACTGGCTGTCTTGAAACCTGGTGTCCTCAGCGTACTGGAGCATGATGGCTCCATCAATAAATTTTTTGGTAAATTAAATACGCAAGATACCTGTTGGCACGATCGGCAGGTCTGCACTACCAGCCGATAGCGCTGCGCTACGGCCCAATCGCGCTGCACTATTGACGGATCGCATTGCACTATTGGTTGATTCTGCTACACTATCGCCCGATCCTGATGGCACTGCTCTATCGGTTACGCCTGTTCCATATCCATTTATTTTTAAATCGCAGTATCACGAAAAAATTGATGGTGTCGCGCCACCGCCAAATCGCGCTGCGCTATCGATCAATCATGCCAGCATAGGTCAATCACACTGCTGTCAGTCAATCATCATGTCTTTCCAATTTATATGTTTTAACCGTGAAAGGGCAGGGGGAGGGGGGGGGGGGGTTTCAACTTTTTGCATGGATACCCTTGCAAGAAAAAAATTCCAGGCCCAAGCTTTCCTGACTTTTTAGCCTCGAGTCTTGCACATCTTTTGATACCAAAAACATAACATTCCGACCTTGGGTTACCGCGCACCAAATTTTTTTTCAAACTGAATTTCTCCATGTAGTGTACACAAAGCAGAATTACCATGGGTGCATATGAATAATTAATTAACCCATAATTCCAAAACCCTTTAACCTATAGTCATGAAATTTCTTGGGTATGTTCATATTGAATTGTTCTATGCATGCACTAAGTTTCATAATTTTTCGTCACTCGATGGCCTACTCCTTAATGAAGTCTAGCTCAAGCTGTTGACTTCAGAAAATCTATAAAAGCCAAAATCCTGGTACAGTTTTTCTGTCTTTGGAAGACGTTATTACATGAATTACAATATATTTGTTATTGCAGTGAGCAGTGGTTCTGTGACAGTCAACGAAGATTCATCAGTGCAGATCCTAGCAGAGATGGCCGTGCCTGTAGACAAACTAGATCCTGCAGTAAGTTAATCCGTTAGGCCCCAAGGCCCAAAGGGCACTGCCTGTTACTCATTATATCCCCCAACCCCACCATCTTGTTTTCATCCAGGAGTAAATACAGAGTAATACAATGTAGAAAAATGTGATACAAGTGCTCATATCTGTGTTTCAACACGAAATAATCAACTGAAAGGCCTGTAGTGTCTATTTGGACACTTTCGCACGAAAACCCCTTCTTGAAGTAAACAGAGAAGTGTTTCAAAACACCATGTGAATCTATTTCGTCTGACTTTCCGTTATTTTATATGTATCACAAGAAATCAAGTATTGCAGGTAATTTAATTTAAAATAAGGACATTTTTTCCCAATTACGTCGCGTCGGTGCAACAAGGTGGTAACTGGATTCTGCAACAAAGTCGTGTCTCGCGCGAATACGCTCCGCGCAACAAGGTCGTATCTCGCGCATCTTGACGTCCATTGACTTTGTGAGTACATCCGGGTTATGTTAAGCGAGACACGACCTTTTGACAGTGAAAACTTGCGTTTCACGTACATAACGTCACACGCCATTTCAGGAGATATGACCTTGTTGCACGACGATTTGATAAGTTTGCCGGTCTCCAAACTTGACCTGTATTTTCAAATAATTTTTACAAAAGTTTGAGATGAAATTGACGATCTCCTCTTTTTGTCTTGGGAAAAAATGCAGGCAGTTAAAGAAGGCTTGTCCAAGGCCCAACAAGAACTAGCCGCTGCCAGCACAGACCTAGCCAGAGCAGAGGCCCAAATAGCCATAGATGCACACGAAGCTATGGACCAAGCCATTGCTGGCAAATAAAGAGGCTAGCGTCCGGTCTTCTTGTGTATAGAATATGGTGAGCATAGCAGTGTTTTATCAGAGAGCCCCATAGACCAGAATAAACCTCACTGCGTTTGTTCAAAGCATGTAGGATCATAGCTAATTTAACCGAAACGTACCTACCAATTTTATGAGTAAAGCCTTTGTCAAAGTGACGATAAGTCTGGTCCAAATACCCTGCGAAATCATTCCGCCCGAAATGGTTTCGACAGAAAAGAATTGAAAGAAAATATGAAGTTGAAGATAAGCAACGGATTTCAGTTACCAGAACCCCCCCAAAAATTTCACGTTTTTTTCACAACGTTTAGTAGCCACCGAGGTAAAACTTAAAAACAGGTTAGTTGGTATGCACCGTGTTTGAGATTTTGAGCAAATTTGTTGCTTCCAAAAACCCCCCAATGAAAGAAAGAAATGCGCCCCCAAAACAGGAACATTGCCCGATCGAACCAGGGACACATAGCTGTATCCTCAAAGCATTTTGAAAGTTAAATGGCCAAAGAATGAGCCATTTTTGTTCCCACATTGGGAGATTTCTGAGAATGTTTGAAGGTTCGTGGCTGAAAAAAAAAGGCCCTGAAAATTAAGGTGACTAAATATCCACTGCAATTCTAACTTGTAATAATTTTTTTTTTCTTCGTGTTTGCTACAGATTTTAGTTTTCTGGAGGTTAGCAACGGAAGGACGTTTATCCAAGGCTTGAATTTGGTGGTTTTTTTTTCTGAAACTGAGCGACAGGCCAGCCAGTGGTTTCTTAGAAAGTGTTGTGCAGTTGGATGAAAGATGAAATCAGGCTTAGTATATACTGATAGGAATATCAATATGAATTACTACGCCATTTTAAAAGTTTGTCAGAACATTGATTTTGTTTAATTGGGCGTCAGTCTCAATGAAAAGTGATTTTTGTTCAAACAATTCCAACTTGTTTTCCAATAATTCCTCACTTTAGTTCCACTTTCCGAAACAAGAGAACGTTTGCGTTGAAAAAAATATACAATTCCAACAGGATGAAATACAATGAACTTCCTAGTTTGCATGTACATGTAGTTGGAAAAGTTGTCCCTTTTGTCAAAAATCAATTTACACAAATATAGAGTTTCCCATAATTTGTTCAGATTAATTTTAACAGCAACCCCATGTCCCACTTTCTCTTAAGTTGATTTGTGATTTTTGGTTACGAGATAAAGATTTATGACAATTAAAAAATGACCTGTTGAGTACTTGTCAGTCCTCTTTTGTACTGTGTTGAATGAAATTAATGCAGTTAATTACGAGTGAGAACAATGTAAGGAATTAATTGTAAGGAATTATTTGGACCGATTTAAAAGGCGCAATTAGTTTCAGAGCGGATCTTGGCATTTCATGAGGGTGCCATATTAACTCCATATACTGGCCTGCTCTATACATTTTTGTACATAGTTAAGCAGCATTAATGGACACCATTGGAGATTGAAAGTAATCGGAATATTTCACCATCAAATCAACTAGAATATGTATATACTATTCATAAATACTTGGGACAGTTTACCCATTTCTATTGGTTAAGATCTCGTCACATGGGTGGTTTTAAACCGCTGATAAAACACCGGTGTGTTCTGGGCCGCATGGTGCAATACGCGCCGTGCGCGTCAATCTCAAAGGGATATTTAGCACTACACATACCATAGACATGGCGAAAGGATGGTTTCACAAAACACAAAGTAAGATTGCATGCTATACAAAATCGTTGAAAATTTGTGAAATCGGCTTGGGCCAATATCAGCGTCCAGGCCACTAGATGGTTTTAAACGTACTTGTTTAAAATATATTATTTTCTCTTACAAAGATATCTTTTTTTGATAGGGGGGGGGGGGGGGTAGAGAGGTGGGGGGCTCTTCTAATAGCCAAGACAGTTTGGGGGTAAAAGGTAATCACAAGGCTTTAGGGCCCACCAGGCCGGCATTAGTCTGCAGTTGCAGTGGCATTAAATATTGGAATATTTTTATTTCCCGTGGATGGGATGCCAGTCCGTTGCAGGTTATGCCCCAGCTAATGTTCACAAGTCGGCCATTATTAAAAGCAAAGTAAAATCTTCACTTTTTTGAACTTGTGAATAAAAATTACAGGAATGACATAAAAGTTAATTACAAATTAATACCTGTCTGCTCTGATGAATAATCAAAAACTTGTGATTAAACATACCCTAATGTTATAAGCCACAATTAAAAAAAAATTAACAGTGAGGCTTGGAACGCATAAATAGTCTGGCACCATCCCATTCAACAGTTTACAACTTACAAAATACATTTTGAGAACACAATCAAAAATGGCCTCCTCGTTAATAAGGTGAACACTCCTGGATGGAGAGGACACCGCAACTGGCCAGCAGCTGCAGTTGAGCCCCTGACCCTAGCTAATCACGAGTCAAGAACTACTTGATTTCAGACATCGGTCAAGTCAAAGGAACATAAGTGCATGAAGTTGGTCTGCCTAAAAAGTCAAGTCTATTTGGGTCGATTAGATTCTTAGTACATGTACTTTATTGGTTCAGTGGCCAGTTTGAACCGGGCCTAAGCCATGGTCTGTTACATATGAACAGATTCGATGATTAATTAGGCAAGATCACGGCATCTTGAACCCTTGATTTTGACCAATCAGTGGGCGCTTTCTATGTCCGGTCTTCGGTCATTCACCTTTGTTGCGTCTGGACATGGACAAAAATAACCCCGCTAGACACAGCAACAAGGGCATTGGTCACACGCTATTTTGTTATGCACCACGTATGCGCGCGGCTGTTGTTGCATTACAAAACACTGCATTCGAATTGACCGATCAAACCATTAGTCCTGATTTGGGAATGAAATGACATTACAATTTTGTAAAGTCGACTCCGATTGGCCGAGGTGCGACGTCGCATAAATCTGCATGTATTGACACTCCAGACGTTATACAGGACACTTGGCTCCATGGATAACGGGTGATACTCGGACTACTAGTGAACAGGACTACACATGCATGCAGTACCCGCTGCTATGTACATCAGATTCGAACCAGCCAACCGCCCCTATAAGCTTGGTGGTTGATAATAATAATAATAATAATAATTTGGGAGGCTAATCATCCTTACTCGCAGCTGGTATGCTAAATTGCGAAGGACGCGGCTACAACGTGGTCGGGCCACTGGCACGTAAAGGCGTCTATGGCTGCCGGCCACATCGACCCATAAATGACCACGGACCACAGCCCGAGATCGAAAGTGTTTGATTTTTCCGGAGGGAGGAAAACTGGAGGGCCCGGAGAAAAACCCTTGTGGCACAGGAGAGAACCAACGCACAACTCTACTCACATGTGATCCATGGTCAAGCCAGGATCCACGGCCAGGATTCGAACCGTGGTCACCTTGGTGAGAGGCGAGCGCTTTACCCACAAGCCACCAATGTACGCTTTACACACAAGCCACCAATGCCACCACTGATGTCTGCACTAGAAAGCAGGTCTTGCGTTCGAGTCCTACCCAAGTGATTTTTCCAACTTTTACTCAGGAGGTAACACCGAGTACACAGTAGCGTGTTACCTCCTGAGTGATATACGTCAGTGAAGGGCAAAACCTAATATTGAACAACTACACACATCTCAAGAGAAGATATTCGACAAATAACTCCACAACACACCCGCCACAATGTGAATGTTACCAATCTGGTTTAATAACTGTATCCTAAAACTTAAAAACGATTTCACATTCAATCCACATCAAAAACTTCAAAATCAAAAGAATTCCAATTTCTTTTTTAATCTTTTAAATACAGCCTAACATCAACGAACAATGCAACTTTAGATGACGGCTTCTGTAGTTCCTTCAAATTCAACTCGACAACCCATGAACTTTAGAAAAGCAAAATGCTGCAAATGCGTTTGGCATTTGAACCTAATACCGGTCTTTGGAGAATGTAATTTGAACGCTAAATTTATAGATGTCAGATGCAGTATTTAACCCTATTATGTTAACGTTTGTGATGGTCCATGGTCACCATATCTAGAGTTACAACCTACGCAAATGTTCAAAATACTGTAATACAGAAAGTTACAGCCTACATGTGTGCTGAAATTAAGTATGCAGTCAAAATCACAGTTTGAAAAATGATCAATTTTGTGAAAGTTTTTTTTCTATCCCACATTTAGCGAGACATAAGCCACTCATTGTACAGTGTGTAATGAATATCAACAGCATAGGGTTGATCAACAAAAAATTCAGTTTTGTTACTACCCAAATCTATCAAAGATTACTTCTGAAGAATATTTCGGTAATTGAAAAATGAATCCGTGTTCCAATGCTACAACATCTTGATCATGTTTCCTATTGTTCTCAACAATCACAATTTTGTTGCGGAAAAGACAAGAGTTTGTGTTTTGAGCGGAGCCATTGGAGCTTATTCCACCAATCTGCTGAGCACGGAATACCGCTAAACACAGAACAATTGCAAATGCATGTACCAATTAAAAGCCTACATTGACCGTTTGATTTTTGGGGGGATTTTTGCTTAGAACATAAATTCTTTAAGCAATTGGGTCCTGTAAAGACATCTGTATTTTTCCAACACTGACAAATCTTTAGAAAAAGAAATCTCTACATGACATGCAGCAAGGTTTGGTGGATGCGTTGTAGAATGAAGTGCCTGAAACCCTGTGGTGTGTGTGTGTGTGCGCATTCGGGATGAAGAGTACACTGGGAGTATGGGGATCAATTGAAGTAACAGTAGCCTAGATGTTCACGTCATTTCACATGCTTGAAGATCTTTTCGGAAGCCTGAAAAAAAAACATTAAAAAAAATAAAAAAATTAACCCATTAGGCCAAAAAAAAAAAGTCTCCGGTTTCTGGTATGGAGCTTGCCCCAAAAGTGGTGCGGTGACGCGGCTTTTTTTTTTTTTTTTACCTGTTTTTTTTTTTTTGGCTTCAAATGTCGGCTGATGACTGCAAATGGTGCCCGACTAAACTTAGTGCAAATATATGGGAGTCCAGAGAGGCCACATAAAGCTTCTTCTCGATCATAACCCCATCTAAAAACATGTTAAAATTGTGCAGCAGCAGGATTCCAGTCAAACCAGTGAGTTTGGCGGTTTTGAGACATCATCTTGTATTGAAAAAAAAAACTTTTTCATTTTGCCGACGCGCATGGCTACGGCGACGCGCGCACATACCAGAAACCGGAGACTTTTTTTTTTGGCCTTAGCACCTGTAATTCTTTGTATTACACTTGTCTTTATTCAGTAAAAGATCAATAAAACCATATAGGCCATCAGCCTAGGGGTTTGGTCAGTATTAAATCAGGGCATAAATGATTATAGTGTGCATGCGCAAGGAATACCGCCCCTAGAGCGGTAACAAGCATTTTGATGGACATTTTGAAAAGAAAGGTGATAACACCCAAAAAGCTGCCACTATTGCAATGCTATTACATATTTTCCAACTCTGGAGGTGTATACCTTGCCAAAAATCGCTATGACGATTATTCTTCTCATTTTATACCGGTGGCCAAAATTTTGGACCGAGGCTGATGGCATACTAGACAGTGTTGTAGTCGAGTCCTTTTTTCCGAGTACCGAGTACTGCCGAGTACTTAGGTTGCCGAGTACGAGTACGAGTACTTGTACCTCCGAGTACAAGTACAGGTCTCCGAGTACTTGTACTTCCGAGTACGAGTACGAGTACTGGTACTTCCGAGTACGAGTACTTGTATTTCCGAATACGGCCAAACGGCAAATGGTTCATTGTGCGTAAATGGCCCAGGCCCAGGCCCAGTCAGACCAATACGCAGACCCATTTTTGGGGACAGATATGCAAAATATCCGTGCATGTGCATCGATTGAAACGAAACACGTGTTCCAAAAATGTTCATCAAGAGTGCATTTTAAGACCACGGGTATGGCAGTTGGTCAATTAGTCAATTATTTGTGGTCAAATATTTTTTCGGTCAATTTTCGGGGACAGACAGACAGACAGACCGACCGACCACCAAGAGAACTTAAAGGGAATATACATCATTTGCTTTTGCTGTAATTTTCAGAAATGGATGGAATTGGGGGGGTGGAAATATATAGCAAATATAGTTACACTGACTTTTTTGAGGTTTTGGGTTTGAAAATGCTATAAAAACCAAGAGAAACAATCATTCTCCTGTAGTCTGGTTCCCCGACTCCATATAAGAAGAAACAGAGCAGTTTACATACATTGGGGAATTGTAAGGTCAGGGAACCAGTCTAGCTGGCTTGTACCCGTTCATAGGTGTGTAATCGATTGCAAACAAGTGCGATGGTCAATTGGGGCCAGTATTTGAAAAAAAAGCCAGTTTTTTCCAACGCTGGTCGGCCGACCAGCGTTGGAAATTGATACAAAAATACCACTTTTCTTGAAAATGACAGTATACCAGGTGCCATGATTTTACAGGATGCTTTCCACTGTCATTCACTAAATCCAGCAAGGTATTTCAAAATGATTTGGTAGTTTTATTTTTTGATGTTTGCAAATGTTGAGTTTTCCCTTTAAAGAAGGAGAGTTGAGGGAGACCGCTGGGAGGAAAATTTAAACGAGTTGCCGATGACACGACGCTTATTCGAAGACGCAAAAGGGTTGTGCACATTCAGAAAAAAAATAGTTGTGCATCAATCAATAAGCGGGAACCGGTGCACGCATGGCGTGTCCCTCCAACTTTGGTTCCCGAAAATGGTCACAAAGCGCCCTCTAGTGTTTGCGCGCGGAGTATTTATGTACACTCACACAGTGGTCGACGCAGTGCAGGAAGTCAAACAGCTCTTGGGTGCACGTCTCCTCGGTATTGCTGCGGCTGGTCACCCGCTCCTGGCACACCTCCAATTCCTGCTTGAAACCGGCGCAGTGGCTGTCTTCCCGGCAATTTTCCAAGATCTCATCCCGAGGATCCTACAAAAGGTGAATCAGTGGGATGGATTACAGTTAATAAAAATAAAAATAATAATATCGGAGTCTTATATAGCGCACATATCTACCAACTATTAGGTACTCAAGGCGCTGGAGATATGTCTATTATTAAAGAAAGGTAAATAAAGTTTATGAGAAATATGAGACCCATTATGTAGCACCTTATAAGGGTTTACAAGGTGCTGCGGTGCATATTGCAGCCACTGCCAGAAACACTGGGGCAAACCCCTTCTCTTAGCGATAAGTGTCACTGGGTTCTTTAACGTGTATTACACAACACACAGGACCTACGGCTTAACATCCCATCCGAAGGATGAAGCAATAATGGTAAAGTGCCTTGCTCAAGAGCACAAGCACCATGTTCCCACGGTCAGGATTCGAACCCATGTACCACGGCACACGAGTCTAACACCATAACCATTGGACCACAGTACCCCACAGTTAAAGCTAGTCCATCATCTGCAGCTATCCAAAAAGTAACTGACGAAGCTATTGTTGAAAAGATACTTAGTTTAAAGATGGTACATTTATAAAGTCCCTGTGAAATTATTCGTAGCTGCAGTTGGCTGAATGACGTGTTCCAGATGCGGCAACTTGTGATTTAAAATCGTGATCCTAAAATACAATGTTTTGTTTTTCTCGGTATATACAGCCGGAAGGATTTCCATATAAGAAGTTCACTAATTTTCCTCTGTATTGACTAACAAGCCCCCAGATAGCAATTTCATGTCATCAAAGTCAATTTGAGCAGTGAGAAAATACAAGCATTTTCTTAGAAAACACTTAGAATTTTTCAGTCCACTCTCATAGGGTTTGTACACAGGGTGTTGAGTGAACTTCTTATATGGAAATCTTTCCTATACAGCCTTTACTGAGCTGAAACTGCATCAGGTTGGTTGTTAAAGGTACAGTCCATTATTTGTAATTTGTGCCTTTTGTTCGTTTGAAGCAACAAAAGTGCTCAATATCTGAAGAAGGATGCTGAACAACCAATCTGGTGAAGTTTCAGCTTAGCTTCAGCTGCATTTTTTTAGAAAACAACATTCTACGATCTCGATTTTAAAATCAAAAGTTGCTGAATCATGTTTTGAATTGGGCCTGAATTCAGCATCCGAGACACGTTCACTGATCAAATTGCAGCTACGCGATGTTACACACTGATCTGACGAACTATAGCAACTGCGCACTTGTGCGTCGTGTCAACGCATGCGCGCGCTTCGCCTAATAAAAAGCGAACTACTAACGGAAATTTCCCAACGATGCATCTTTAGACTCTTCATTGGAAAGGCCTTCTTTAATTGGTTTCTTCAAAATGACAGCTTGCCAGAAAGAATAATTTCACAGGGAGTTTAGTCCCCTTACTATCTTTCAACCAAGTATGCTTTGCAACAATAATTACGTCAGTTACTTTTTGGATAGTTGTAAATGATGGACTGTAGCTAAAAAAAAGCTGGTGCAGCCAATATGACAATTAGATATCAGACAATCAGAGAATGCCTCTACGAAAGTAACGGTTACAAAACGGAAGCCAGCAATGGCCAAATGTCAGCTAGCTTAAAGGGAAAATACAACATTTGCAAACATCAAAATAAAACTACCAAATCATTTTGAAATACCTTGCTGGACTGTTAGTGAATGACAGTGTAAAGCATCCTGTAAAATCATGGCACCTGGTATACTGTCATTTTCAAGAAAAGTGGTATTTTTGTATCAATTTCCAACGCTGGTCGGCCGACCAGCATTGGAAAACACTGGCTTTTTTTCAAACACTGGCCCCAATTGACCATCGCACTTGTTTGCAATCGATTACACACCTATGAACGGGTACAAGCCAGCTAGACTGGTTCCCTGACCTTACAATTCTCCATTGTATGTAAACTGCTCTGTTTCTTCTTTATATGGAGTCGGGGAACCAGACTACAGGAAAATGATTGTTTTTCTTGGTTTTTATAGCATTTTCGAACCCAAAACCTCAAAAAAGTCAGTGTAACTATATTTGCTATATATTTCCAACCCCCCAATTCCATCCATTTCTGAAAATTACAGCAAAAGCAAATGATGTATAGTCCCTTTAACCCTTACCCTACTTGACCCTCCAATGCATGCCAATTGTGCCTCAAGAAAATCTCCTATGTTTTTTGCATGGCCCTCCAATATCTGCCATGTCATTTCAAGGGTAACTGGACAGGCACTCCAATACATGCCACAGAGAACAATGAGAGTCCTCTGATAACAAAGTGAGTGCCCCCAGCTGGTCAGTATCAGGCACCCTCCAGGGCCTCCAACTCCTGCCAATTGGAGCCTTCACTGCTACATCAAAGTATCCTCCAATAAACTGCAGCTGGAGGGCATTGGCATAACCAACTGACATGCAGTAAACTACCCTCAGAGAGTAAGGGTTAACTTATTGAAAGTAGGCCTAATGATTTTTGATGGTTTAGTAATTATTTCAGGGATAATTTCTTACCACTATGTCCTCTTCATCTTCTTCCTCCTCCTCTTCTTCTTCCTGACAATGTGACCGAGACAAAACAAGCCATGTATCCAGATATTTTAAAGGGAATATACAACATTTGCAAACATCGAAAAATATAACTACCTAGTTTTTACGAAATACCTTACTAGGATGTTGGTAAATGACAGTCTTAAGCATCCTGTAAAATTATGGCACCTGGTGTGAAGTCATTTTCAAGAAAATGGTATTTTTGTAAAAATTTCCAACGGTGGTCGGCCGACCACCGTTGGAAAAACCTAACTATTTTTCAACTACTGCTCCAAAGTAACCCTTTTTCTTTCAGTCCAAATTTTGTTTGCTATTGGTTACATGTTCATGAACGGGTGCAGGCCGGCTAGACTGGTTCCATTACCTTACAAGTTTCCGGCATATGTAAATTGATCCATTTTATATTTAGTGGAGTCAGGGAACCAGACTACTTGAACATGTTTGTTTTTCTTGTTTTTTCCCCAGCATTTTCGAACACAAACCTTCAAACATGTCAGTCTAACAATATTTGATCTATTATACTAACCCCTCAAATAGTTCATTTCTGAAAATTACAGCAAAAGCCAATCATGTATATTCCCTTTAAGAGCAATCTTTTTATGAAACGTAGTGGCTATTATTATTTTCAGTGGCCATCATTATGGCACCCCCCCCCAAAAAAAAACCTCACCCCAAACAAACCATGTATCACATTAACAACCGGACTTTTACACCATCTTCAAGGTAATAGATTTAGCTTGAGAATACCGTTTGTTTCATTGAGATTGCTTTTGTAAATCCAAAGATATGTTTGAAAAACGGCAAAGCCAAGAAACTCATTTTGTGCCATTTTCTGTGAAGCAGTTAAAATCAGTATATAGTCCTAGTCTAAAACCACATCACTTTACTGTTAGTGATTTTAACATTTGTAAGCAGAGTGTGCAATAGGCAAAAAAAAAAAAAAGTCTCCAGTTTCTGGTATGGAGCTTGCCCAAAAAGTGGTGCGGCGACGCGTTTTTTTTTGTTTTTGTTTTTACCGTTTTTTCTTCTTCAAATGTCGGCTGATGACTGCAAATGGTGTCTGACTAAACTTAGTGCAAATATATGGGAGTCTAGAGAGGCCACATAAAGCTTATTCTCGATTGTAATCCCATCTAAAAACACGTTAAAATTGTGCAGCAGCAGGATTCCAGTCAAACCAGTGAGCTTGGCGGTTTTGAGACATCATCTTTCCTTGAAAAAAAAAACGTTTTCATTTTGCTGATGCGCATGGCTACGGCGACGCGAGCGCATACCAGAAACCAGAGACTTTTTTTTTTTGGCCATATTTATTTATATTTAATTGAACTCTTTTATTGAAGTTTTAAAGAAGTGAACCTTTCTGTACTATTGAATTGTTTCAACATAAGAACAAAACCCTCTTGTCGTGTGAATGGAATGTTTGTCTTACACCCATTGGGATAATCTAATCAAAAGAGCCATACTGGCATTGTCTGATCTTTGAAGCACTCGCTTCCTAAAAGTGGCACAGAACTTTTTTTGGGCTTTGCGGATATTCAAACATTTCTCTGGATTTACAAAGGCAATCTTAATTAACCAAATGGTATATTCTCAAGCTAAATCTGTAACCTTGAAGATCGTGTAAACATTTGCAGTAAATTCCGGTTGTAAATTGGTGAAAATGGCGGGGTTTACATGCACCATTATTTTCAGGACGCCCTGTAGAGCACTTTGGTAGCTCAACTTAGTAAATGTTGGACTACAATTCTGAAAGTACCGGAGGTTCAGAGATTTTCTTTTTTAATAGTTCACTTTTATGTCATAAATCATATCTTACTGGGGGCCCACTTCATGTAAATATCTGCTCAGTCACCTCGCGCCTGCATATTACATCCCTGCTGAGGAGATTAAGTGCAGTATTCCACCAGAACCAGAACCTACTGTTCCCGAAGTGTTCAAAGAACCGCGAACCGGTCCCACATTTTGTCCACTAAAAAAATAAAAGGGAGTCGGGAACTAGCTTGAACTGGTTTCCGTCCATAAAAGCTGCCCTAGTTCCCGACTCCCTAGTATTATCGTTCGAAATGCACTTGTGTTTACAAACGAGATCCAGTCTACTAATTGATGCATCGCGCGCGCTCGGTAACGGAATCGCACTCGGGATACGGGGACCATCGAGTGAATGCTGGGCATGACTACATCGCAATTCAAACAGGAGTTGGAAATTTAACGTGTTCAAGATCGCAAGGGGAGCTCTTGGAATTGAACAGGAAATTTCATTTTTCATCCGGATCGTAACTAAGTAGGCCTAAACTTCAGTACAACCATCTTAATCATCGATATCTACTAGTACTAGTACCTAAGGTGGCGTATCTAGTAATTTGGAGGCCGTTTTGAGGGTGAAATCTGATGTTTTTGTTGGGCAATTGTTGGGTTTTTGGGTCAATGACAGAATTGTGTTGCTCGGCATATACGAATTAGCTTGGACCCTACTACTATCGCCAGACCGTGTCCGAATGTTAAAAAAGGCGATAGGGCCTAGATCAAAGTTGGGTCCAAGTTACTCGGACTACTACAGAGCTTGCAATATAGTAAGTACTGTACGGCCAGATGCAGTCGGGCTACCATATTAAAGGATGCAACTTTTTGGTGCTTGAAAATTAATTGCAAAAAGTGGTGGCCCAGTACGGAATTTTTTTTCCCACAAGTTTCATTTCTTTCTTCTTTCTTTATTATTTTTACCACATCTCATTTCATTAACAATTAAGTGACAAGGCATAAATACATGCATGTAGTTTTAGATATTAAGAAATTTGAACTGGTTTTACAAAATATATTTATACACTTTGAGCGCATTATTTTTAACGAAGTGGCTATCGTTACGGCAGCCGTTGTTTAGCGCCTTCTACGATACTTTTTTGATACGCACGCAGGTATATAATTATTTGTTTCCCCACGTTTTAGCGAGCAGTGCGACAGCTCAGTCGATAGAGGGTAGGATTTTGCACCGCGAGGTTGCGGGTTCGCATCTCAGTTTTGCACTCGAATTTTTTTCCTTTTCTAACCTGAGGCTTTGGAGGATTTTTTTTAAAAGGGAAATAATGTCCGAATTTCATAACGTTCAAATTCACTTTTTTCCTTCTAATTTTATATTTTCTTCTCATGTTTTTATAAAAGTTGCAGTCTACTGTAACGATAGAAAATGGGAAATGCGTTACGGCTGCCGTAACGATTTTGGGTCAACTCGTACCCGAGTTAACTCGTACCCGAGTCAACTCGTACTCGAGTCAACTCATACCCGAGTCAACTCGTACCCAAGTTAACTCGTACCCGAGTTAACTCGTACCCAGGTTAACTCGTACCCGAGTCAACTCGTACCCGGGTCAACTCGCACCCAGGTCAACTCGTACTCCCCTCCTTTTTTAGTTTGGAAGTACGGATGGATGGTTAACAAAACTTCCGATTTTACCCTCAAAAACGGCCACTGAGAAATAGTAGTTACGCCGCCAGAAATACAAATAAAGTTCAAGGATTAGTTGAAGGCGGTGGTATCAAATGTTGATCACAATCTGGATGAAAAGGGAAAATGTACCGTTCATCGGCAAGGGCTTCATCGCGAACGGACGGGTACCGTGCGGAGAACATTTTCAAAACGGCATCAGTGTGGTACTCGCGAGTCGACGGAGCCCTCGCTGATAAACGGTAAATTTCACTTTTCATCCAGATCATCAGATGTGTTATTTTTAAATTTGTGTAGTATTTTCTCTTAGTAATGATGTTTTTTCTTTCTTTTTTCAGAGACCCTGGATCACTGAGCGAACTGCTACGTCTTTTTTTTGTTCGGTCGAACGAGTTTTAAGGGCATAGTTTTCTTTTTACGAATTTAGTATTTGAGACCTTTTTTTTTTAAAGAAAGCTGCTATTAAAAAATGAATTTTGTAATGTAAAAGTAATATTTTTCAACGTTCACTCACTCCATTTTTGGCATCATTTATTGAATAATAACTGCACATGGCACAAATCTCTTTGGGAAGATTGGGGGCCCTGAAAGTACAAATCTGAAGAGAAAATATATTACAGGAAACTTAAAAGAGTCACACGGACATCGTTATTTAATTTATAATGATTCTTTAATATGTTGGTCATTTTTTGTACAATTAGTTCGTTAAATGTCATAAAAAAAATCTTGTGCAGCTTAAATAAAGTTTCTGCGATAAGTTCAACTAGAATATTATTTTGGTAACAGAAATGTAGGATTTAATTATTTGTTTACATTTGAGGCATCAAGGAAGTAAACACGATAAAGGAAAATGGTGGCTCGTTTCATTCAGAGATGCTCTTTCTATAAGTTTTAGGGGACCAATTTGTTAGTTGATACTTGGGTGTGAAAGATTGTTTGACATTAGCAAATTGTAATTCAAGTGCAAGAGAAAGTTTTATTATCTTAAACAAAACTGAGCTAATCGGGTTTCGTCCTCGAATTTGTCGAAACTTGACATCCGATTCGATTCATCATGAACTGTGTGACAGACCATCCGATCGATCGGATTGAGCAGCTGAAATGGTTCATCGGAAAACCACAGGATCATCTGTAAGGCCAAAAAAAATAATAAGTCGGTCTCTGGTCAGCGCGCGCGTCGATTTTAAGCATGCGCGTCGATCTTTTTTTTTTCCAAAATGTTCCGCGGAAGCTCCAACAGCGCCCTCTATTTCCGCACCTCCTCAATTTTTTTTACCAAAGAGCACCAAGGAATGGGAAATTGCACCAAGGCAAATGATCGAAAGCACCAAGGCAAATTATGGAGGCCACCAATGTACATGAGGACACCAAAAAAGCAAAATAGTACCCACCTTGTCTGTACAATCCAAGCTGAAAAAAAAAAAAAAGCCGCGTGGCCGCGTCAATTCCGGAACTTTGGTCTGACCAGAGACCGAATATTTTTTTTTTTTGGCCTAATATAAAAATAAAATAAATTGATAAAAGCATGCATACGTTGGCCGATGAGTGCGCGCACAGGCCCGGCAAAAACGATGTCACCGTGCACGGTACGACCACGTTGGCCGATGAGTGCGCGCACAGGCCCGGCAAAAACGATGTCACCGTGCACGGACGACCACGTGGACCGGCGAGTGCGCGCACGGGCCCGGCAAAAACGATGTCACTGTGCTACGACCACGTTGACCAGCGAGTGCGCGGGGTCGCACTAAACAGCGTCAACACAGCGTCAACACAGCGTCAACACATGACAGAAGCGTCAACACACCGTCAACACATCCAAAACACATTCTGAATTGACAAAAAGGGCATATAATTGTGAAACATACAATAAAAGAGAATTTCCATTGGATTGAGTTTCCATTTCGTTGTTAAAAATATCGTATTTTCACGCGAAAAAAATGACCTTAACTTGCACGGCCGTTGTCCGCCATCTTGACTTTAGCACAAAGCTTGGACTACACCATTTCAAGTAGGGGTGTGTAGGTAATGACATTATCTTGTCATAAACAACAGAGGGCGCCTTGCTGCAGACTAGACAGGGGGATACCGGCCGCGTCCCTCTCTGTTGGTTTATTGTACAACGCTATCACCCTTTAGAATAATGGTATGGTCCGCGCTGCCACTGAGGCAACATGGCGGGTGTTCGGCAGCCGATTTCGGAGCGGCACGGAGAGCCAATTTTCTTGAACTAAAAATCGCGATTTTCAGACGTTTAACCTATTGATTTTAAGCACAAATCTTGTTTCTGTCCATACTGTATGGGTTACATACTGCTTTTGTCAATTTTAATGCATTTTGGATGTGTTGACGCTGTGTTGACGCTGTGTTGACGCTTTGGAGTGTGTTGACGCTGTGTTGACGCTGTTTAGTATGACCGAGTGCGCGCACAGGCTCGGCACAAACGATGTCACCGTGCACGGACAACCGGCCATATCCCTTCGATCTTCCGTTCGTTTCACTGATTTTCTTTTCGAAAATGGGCAACTATTTTGAGCTGCGGGCCGGGTACGAGTTGACTCGGGTACGAGTCAACTCGGGTACGACTTGACTCGGGTACGAGTTGACTGGGGTACGACTTGACTCGGGTACGACCTAACTCGGGTACGACTTGACTTGGGTGTCAATTTCGGTCATACTAAACAGCGTCAACACAGCGTCAACACACTCCAAAGCGTCAACACAGCGTCAACACAGCGTCAACACATCCAAAATGCATTAAAATTTACAAAAGCAGTATGTAACCCATACAGTATGGACAGAAACAAGATTTGTGCTTAAAATCAATAGGTTAAACGTCTGAAAATCGCGATTTTTAGTTCAAGAAAATTGGCTCTCCGTGCCGCTCCGAAATCGGCTGCTGAACACCCGCCATGTTGCCTCAGTGGCAGCGCGGACCATACCATTATTCTAAAGGGTGATAGCGTTGTACAATAAACCAACAGAGAGGGACGCGGCCGGGGTCGCCAGTGTTAAAAATATCTGCAAAGACCAAAACATAAACACAACTCACAAAATAATGATCTACCACTCCTCCGATCCTTAGTCCTCACACAGATCTGGTATCCCTCTGTCTAGTCTGCAGCAAGGCGCCCTCTGTTGTTTATGACAAGATAATGTCATTACCTACACACCCCTACTTGAAATGGTGTAGTCCAAGCTTTGTGCGAAGTCAAGATGGCGGACAACGGCCGTGCAAGTTAAGGTCAGTTTTTTCGCGTGAAAATACGATATTTTTAACAACGAAATGGAAACTCAATCCAATGGAAATTCTCTTTTATTGTATGTTTCACAATTATATGCCCTTTTTGTCAATTCAGAATGTGTTTTGGATGTGTTGACGGTGTGTTGACGCTTCTGTCATGTGTTGACGCTGTGTTGACGCTGTGTTGACGCTGTTTAGTGCGACCCGTCAATTTTGGGGTACGAGTTGACTCGGGTACGAGTTAACTCGGGTACGAGTTGACCCATTTCCGCCGTAACAATAGCCACTGTGTATTTTTAAATTAGATGATGGAAGGGGATCCCCAAAAAGCAAAAGGTTTGCTTCTTTTTAAAAAAAGGTACGAGTTGACCATTGTTGACCTGAGCACCACTAGCACTTTGGGGTAAGGGTACGAGTTAGCACGGTTGACCTTGCAGGGTACGAGTTGACCTGGCACTGTCTGTGCATGTGGCAGCAGGCAAAAATTGTGACCGAGCAATGAGGCGCTTTCAGTGGGTTGCGGGTTCCTTGGCTGCGTTTCCAAAATTGGTAAGCCAAGGATTCTTATAATCTTAACGTTACTTCATGAGTTCACCCACAGTGCAAAGATTAATAATAATGTGTCCACACACAACCATAGTAATACCCTATTTTCTGACAGCTTGTGGTTGCAATTTAGAATTATGAATGATTATTATTTACCTCTGGAGGATCGTTCTCGAAAAGTCTTTCGTCGTCGATCGCCATGTTGCAAGATATTGATGCTTGCGAATTGCCGGTATAGGCCTGTAATACGCCGCGCCTGATTGGTACGAAATGCCTCATGGTTAATTTTTTATCCAATGAAAGTTGTCGTTACATTGAGGCTAAGTATCCGAAAAACTTTAATGCCACTTGAGGGCGCTATGATATGCAAACTTTCGTCAAATCATACCGAGCCGAGTTCCTATGTTGTTCAAGCCGATTTTTTTTTGCAAGTCGTGAAAAAAGTTCCACTTTATTAACTTTTTTTGGTAAAATTATGTACATGTAAATGCATAAGGTACGGTGGCCCACAACTGTCACGGCAAAAGCAAAAGCGCCACGGCAAGCGCAATAGCGCCGCGGCAAGCGCAACAGCGCCGCGGCAAGCGCAACAGCGCCACGGCAAGCGCAAAAGCGCCACGGCAAAAGAAAAAGCGCCGCGGCAAAACAAAAAGCGCCGCGGCAAAACAAAAAGCGCCACGGCAAAACAAAAAGCGCCACGGCAAAACAAAAAGCGCCGCGGTAAGCGCAAAAGCGCCACGGCAAGCGCAAAAGCGCCACGGCAAGCGCAAAAGCGCCACGGCAAGCGCAAAAGCGCCACGGCGAAAGCAAAAGCGCCACGGCGAAGGCAAAAGTGCCACGGGTTTATTGGGAAGGGGCGTAATCATACATGCCGCTACTACATCAAAAAATAAAATGGGAAGGAGAATGGCCGCCACCAGGAATTCTTATTAAGCACAGAATTTAATTCTTTGAGAAGTGATTTTATGGCTGAGAAAATAGCAAGGCCAAGGAAAACCGGTCAGGAAATAAATCGTCGATATTAATTTGTTGTAGGATAATTATTATTCCAAGAGAGTTGCTGCCGTGAATCAGAGTTTATCAAGGAGTGGGACTCGCTATCAGCACCATCAGGGCCGTTCCTCATTTCTTTACATTTCTTGGGATGCAAACAATTACGAGGACGGGAGGCTCTGTGAGCTGATGCATTTTTTTGAAGAGTTTTTTTCCTTCCGACTAGCATGCAGAGAAGAGTTCCGTTAATTTGAGACTTAGTTCACCCATGGGCGTCGCGAGGGGGGCAAGGGGGCGCCCCCCCCCCCCCTGGAATAGCACACAAAAAAGGAAGGGGAAAAAACTGAGAGAAAAAAAGAAAAGAAAAAGAGGCGCGAAGTCATAGTGGTGTAAATTGAATGAGAAATTGAATAGAAGAGCTTAGAACTGTGCATCTCAACGATAACACTTCTCCTTTGTTTAGTGTCTCTCCCTTACCCCCCCCCTTTTTTAAAGTTAATTTCTTTCTTTCTTATTCTATATCCAAAGTCTTCGCCTGTGTTACGTTCCTTACATGAAATCCACGACCTAACCTCCTCTGTCGAAAGCGTTGCAACTGTCTAATAGAACGATCCATTTCTCGATTTGTGAGTTATCTTCAACTCAGTCGTGTTTATTGGGAAGGGGCGTAATCATACATGCCGCCACTACATCTAAAATTAAATGGAAAGGAGTATGGCCGCCACCATGAATTGAGAAGTGATTTTATGGCTGAGAAAATAGCAAGGAAAACCGGTCAGTGCAAGCAACGTTCAGCGAAGAGTTTTGAAATTCCCGCTCTCTGGGAATTTCTAACCTAATGGGCCCGCGGGCGAGTTACGTGTTGACAAGCCTTACCCACCCACTGCCGCAGCCCTGCAGGAGAGCCTTAATCGACTTCCTATAGATGTGTATGATATACTGAAAAAGAAAAAAAAATTAACTCATACACTCTGGGCAGCTCACTTTCGTGCCTACACTGGTATACACACCTGTGAAAAAAGGCTCAAATTAACGGAACTCTTCTCTGCATGCTAGTCGGAAGGGGAAAAAAATGTTTTCAAAAATGCATCAGCTCACAGAGCCTCCCGTCCTTGTAATTGTTTGCATCCCACGAAATGTAAAGAAATGAGGAACGGCCCTGATGGTGCCGATAGCGAGTCCCACTCCTTGATAAACTCTGATTCACGGCAGCAACTCTCTTGGAATAATAATTATCCTACAACAAATTAATATCGACGATTTATTTCCTGACCGGTTTTCCTTGGCCTTGCTATTTTCTCAGCCATAAAATCACTTCTCAAAGAATTAAATTCTGTGCTTAATAAGAATTCCTGGTGGCGGCCATTCTCCTTCCCATTTTATTTTTTGATGTAGTAGCGGCATGTATGATTACGCCCCTTCCCAATAAACCCGTGGCACTTTTGCCTTCGCCGTGGCGCTTTTGCTTTCGCCGTGGCGCTTTTGCGCTTGCCGTGGCGCTTTTGCGCTTGCCGTGGCGCTTTTGCGCTTGCCGCGGCGCTTTTTGTTTTGCCGTGGCGCTTTTTCTTTTGCCGTGGCGCTTTTTGTTTTGCCGTGGCGCTTTTTCTTTTGCCGCGGCGCTTTTTGTTTTGCCGTGGCGCTTTTTCTTTTGCCGTGGCGCTTTTGCGCTTGCCGTGGCGCTGTTGCGCTTGCCGCGGCGCTGTTGCGCTTGCCGCGGCGCTTTTGCGCTTGCCGTGGCGCTTTTGCTTTTGCCGTGACAGTTGTGGGCCACCGTAGATAGTGGAATATCCAAAACTCAAACGTCAGGGGAATTGGCTAAAATTTTGAGTTGAGCGAGTTTTGATTTAGCAAATATATTTTCTATTCAACAATTGACGGGAATAAGTTTTACTTTTGAGTTGGAATGTTTTTGAGTGAACAGGTTTTGACTTAAAGAGATTTCACTGTAGTGTAAGTGAAAAGTAGGTGTTAACATGTCCAAACAACTTGAAACACTCGATAAGTCCAAGTCCTTTTGCATTTTTCCCTTCATTTTCTGTGCCAGTTGTGTGTTTAACAACTAAATATACTCCTCATTCAAAATAATAAGACTGAAAAATAATAGCATCATGATATTTTTTTTTTTACATTAGCGAGTTAGCTGTGGTTCATTCCTTTTTCGTATATGGGGTAGGGAAACAATCACAAAGTACGCAATCACTCAAAACTTGGAATAAACATGGTTTTGTGCCACTGGATTTAATTTATGCATACGAACCTATGCAGTACTACGTCACAGTGTATTTATTATAAAATATTCTGTACAGAGTATACACACAGTAGGCCTACAGGCTTGTTCAGAAAAGATCTGTTCTTCATGAAGCAGTAAAAAAGGTTCATTGGAAAGTTGTAACATATTGTATTTTATGTACAAAACCTTGAATAAAGCACTATAGGCCTACAAGCAAAGTTTCGGATGCACCGTATCTGATGCAAGTTTTACAGAAAGCAAAATCTGTCATTTAAAATATCCATAGCTGCAAACTTAAAAAAAAAATATGCAATCCCATATTTCAGTATTTGTAGCATTTAGATGAGAAGGTTATGCATAAAGTTCTTTAAAATAACTGCTGATTTGCAAAAGGGAAATTAAACAAAGAAAATTGTGTAAGTATAAAACTAGGAGTTATATACTTTCGTGTAAATAATTACACTGTATAGAGCAAGTATACATGTATGTGATAAATGTATTAAAATTAAATAGCTATGTACATTTGAAATAAAACTATCCATTGTATTTTCGCTTGGGGACTGTAAAATTAAATAACATGAATATGTCATTTTATTCCAAGAGCAGTTAAGAAGGTTCATCGGAAGTTTCAGTGATGCATAATGATTTTGATTTTGGTATTAACCCCAACTCCCTGGGGGTGTGCAAAATCATATTGAAATTGGAGGATTCAGGACTGTTGGGCCCCCAAAAAATAAGTCGGTCTCTGGTCAGCGCGCACGTCGATTTTAATCATGCGCGTCAATCTTTTTTTTCTTCTAAAATGTTCCGCGGTAGCTCCAACAGCGCCCTCTATTGCCGCACCTCCTCAATTTTTTTGTACCAAAGAGCACCAAGGAATGGAAAATTGCACCAAGGCAAATGATCGAGAGCACCAAGGCAAATTATGGAGGACAACAATGTACATGAGAACACCAAAAAAAGCAAACAAGTACCCCACCTTGTCTGTACAATCCAAGCTTGAAGAAAAAAAAAAAAAAAAAAAAAAAGCCGCGTCCCCGCGTCCATTCCGGAACTTTGGTCTGACCAGAGACCGAATTTTTTTTGGGGGGGGCCTTAGGGCTTTGTGTTATTCAACATACTGTGTTCAACTTGGATGGCCCAGTAAACGTTTGCACTATGGATCCTGTGCATGGACATTTAATGGTGCTTTGTGACCACTTTTGAAAGTCCGGTGTGAGGTACACACTGTGTGTGCATACTGGTTCATGCTTGATGGCGCAAAGTAATTATATTCTGAATTCTACACAAGCCAGTAATGTCTTTGCACGAATGTCGTGCGTCGTTGGCAATGCATTCGAATGTCTACCCCAGTGGTCTCCCCCAACTCTCCCTTTCTTATCGTTGAGGGGGTACTTGTGCACGTAGCCACTGATCTCTATATAAAGACTGGATAGCGGATATGCATACAACATTCACACAGTAGACTTTGCATATTGACCAATTCGCCACCGGTCTCACGAAGATGGCCGCGTATAATACGAACGTTCTACGCATAAATACGCGCGCGTTGTATCAACAGTTGACGCGCATTTTGGTCACGTACACATATTATGATGTTCTAAAAGGGACACACATTTCCGTAGTGATTATTATTTCAAAAACGCCGAAAAAGTGATTTGCGGCATTATAAAAGTAACCACGACGTTAGAAAAATTGTAGTAAACCTTGGTCAGTTGGTCAGTGGTGGTGGCCAAAATATAAGTCAAGTGAACCGCGACGTTACAAAAGAAATCATGCTGTCTATAAAGACGGCAACTTGTCCTTTGTAGATCACCAGCCGGTCTCACCAATATGGCGTCAAATTCATTCATTGTGCGGCTCTTTATTAGCTATCCAGTCTTTATATAGAGATCAGTGCTCGGAGCCCATAGAGCTGCAGCCGATTTCACAAAACCTTAACCCCATGGCGCAAGCCTACTTGAGCCACAATTTCATGCTGTGCAACATTCACCGTTCACATGATGACAATTTCTTGAAAGTTTGTAGTGCGCAAGTCCACAACTTGTGCAACATATTATGGTGCAACTTGTGCAATAATTTTAGGTGGTGTATTTTGTAGCGTAGCGACTGAAAATTACTTATTTCTCCAGCAAATTGTGATCGTTGTGGAGTCTGTTATTGCACAACTTATCAAGGCTGATACAAGACATGTACTCACAGCTTTGTGTTTGAAGTAAAAGATTTGCTATTTTACTCGTGACAACTGATAAGAGGTTTTAGAGTTACCGCATGAATCCGAAGAAAGTTGGACATTTTTTTTCTTTCAAAATGGCAGGCTGAGATGATTCAACGACTGTTTCCAAATCATACCTAAACCGTTGTAAATGCTGTTATATTCTCGTCCAAGGTGTTTAAATTATCTAAAAGGTTGCGCAGCTACGCCAAATTTCGTGAAATCGATCGTAACTTTATTGCGCAGTTTGCGCCAGTCGCACAACAAATTTATGGCGTAATTCCTATGCATGGCGTAAGTTACGCACTGTTTCATGTAAATCAGCTGCTGGCATGTTAGAATCTGGTGTACTGGTCTTGAGCTAGCAAACTGAGCTAAGGCTGTACATGAATAATACCTTTGATCATTGCAAATTTATTTACATGTGCACAGCTCTTTATTTTGAAAACATTTGAGAGACAGGTCTATACACTCCTGCAACCGAACGCGATCATCGCATCAGACAGATCTAGCGAATGCTTTGCCTGAGCTTAAGGGTACCGGACGAGGCTTTCTGCGTGCTTCCCTTCTTGGCCGTCTTCTGCTGCTGATCCACCTGGAAGCATTTCCACAATCGCAGTGTCTCGTCACCGGCGGCTGTGGCTACGGTGGTGCCGTCTGGACTCATGCACATGTGCAGAATGCGCGACGTGTGACCTGTTTCGGAAAGGGAAACATTGAATAAGAAAAAGCAAAGTCAATATAGATGTCTTTAAGTTGAAATTAAAATGCCCCCTTTTTTTACCCAACTGTTGTCTGTGTACTGTCATTTTGTAGGTAATTTATGGTTTTGTTTTGCACATCTCTGTAGGAGAACTGCAACTGCGTATTTACGCAATCGAGCACGCATCGCGCAGTGTTAAAAATGTTCCAAACACGCCTGCTTGTTGCTTGAAATGTGTTCGAAATACGACGCAGCCGATGCGCATCATGCAAGTTGACGCTCAATATGCCGATGCACGTGGCTGGTCGTAGGAAATGACGTCATTTGAGGGAGACCTACAGGGCCCTCTCTATAACCAACGTCTGATACAGCTGAGCAATGCAAATTTTGTGTGACCCCATGCGCCAGCCACTTGGAGCTCAGGGTCGACTTTGAAAATGGGCAGGATTTCTTCCGTTTTTTTAAAACGTTTGAACATTTCCAACACATTTCCATTTATAACACTCTGGTACATTGTGATGGCTCTGGTGTTTTTAGATGTAAAATGGTTGCATATACCAAAAAAAATATGTCGTACATCAGCAATATATCTGCCAAATATCGGTGTAACAATTTTGAAATCATTCAACTGAACCTCACATTTGCTAAATTTGATGTCGTTAGGGGTGGGGGTTGGGGGGTTGGAATAATTCCCAGTATCAGTATTTAAAGCCATTTAGGCCTTTGCTACATCATATTCAATGTGATGCTGAACGGACCTATGACTTGTTCAGAAATGTCAAGGGATCAAAAGGGGAACCAGACAACTAGAGGATAACTTGAAGCTTACCGAGCAGCTCAGATATTCTGTTCATGGTCGGATACTTCCAGATGATGAGTTGATTTTGAGCGAATCCGTGTGCTGACACTAACTCCCGGTGTTCTTTGGACCAGAGAACCGAGCAGACCTATGCAATAACAAAGACGAACAAAAAAACCCTAGTTTATTATAACCTTGGTTGGCTTTAAATTGGGGCTGTTTCACAATCACACTATCGTCTTGCAGTCCACCGTGAGTGGAACTGGGTCTGAGTCAAACACAGGCCAACAAGGCATACCACTTACATCTGTTTACAAAGTGGTAAGCTGGTAGATTTAAGAATTTCTACGTGGGTAGACCCTTGACATGAAGGTCTCGATGGATCTCGATATGACGGCCAAATTTATAAAATTGTAGCTTAAAGAGGTTGTGGAATGCTCGAAGACATTTCCGTCATTCTTCGGGTATATGTAGCCTAAGGTGTGATGAAATAAAAACGACTATTGTTTCTGTCATAAAATGAGTACAAAAGGTACTTTTGAGAGCTGTTTTTCAAGTCCTGTCATGCCTGTTTCGACCCGAACGTGCAATTTTGTAAAAGTCATCGTTGCGGGCAGCAAACAAAACACAGTGAATCGTGACGTAATAAACAGGACTCCCGATGCAGAGTAGCATAAACAAGTTCTGTTTATTACCTCACGATTTACTGTGTTTTGTTTGCTGCCCGCAACGACGACTTTTACACAAATTACACGTTCAGGTCGAAACAGGACCTGAAAAATAGCTCTCAAAAGTACCCTTTGTACTCATTTCATGACAGAAACAATAGTCGTTTTTATTTCATCACACCTTAGGCTACATATACCCAAAAAATGACGGAAATGTTTTCGAGCATTCCACAACCTCTTTAAAAACTACATAGGTTACAAAAACAAAATTTACCCGTTATAATTCCTGATATCTTCAGGTAAAAACAACCCAAAAATCTATAAAATTGGACAATCAGTTCTAAAGATATCACTAAAAATGCAACAAGCTTCATAACATCTGGCAATCACAAAGCTGGCCTTCTTCAGAGCCTGTGTGGAGAGCATTCTCCTCTATGGAGCCGAAACCTGGACCATGAAGAAGGAGCTTCAAGATCGCATTGATGGCATATACGTGTACACCAGGCTTCTTATGAGGGTGCAGAACATCCCATGGCGTGAGCACAGGACTAGAGAACAGATTTATGGAGACATTCCACTTATCTCTGCTATTGTTGCTCAACTCCGTAACACTGGCTCTTGGGAACAATACGCTCTACGCGCAATGCCCAAAGCGCACACCAGCATGCATTTGCACAATACCGCACCATTGAACAAGGATAATCCTTACTGATTGAATAGTAAATCCCATTCCCCATGGGCGGATAGTACTTTTTGAGCCGGGGCGTGAATGCGAGCAATAATGAATGTCACGTGATGAGTTCCACCAATCAAATGACAAGGATCTGTATGTCAGTTAATGCTTGAATCATTATACAGCCGATTCCTACCTGCGACTTAGTGTCTACGCTGTTGAGACAGGTGCCAGTGTTGACGTTCCAGAAGCGTAGGTACCTATCGGCTGTACCTCCTCCACTAACAAGAACGCTGGGTTGCCAGGGGCACCATGCGAGAGCCTGCAAGGCAAAACAATAAATGTGCATGAAGACATCATTACCATTGGTCCTCTTGCTAACAGCTGTTATGAATATATGCAAATTGAAGCCACAAAAGTGCTCAAAATCTAAAGACGGGTGCTCAACAACTAACTGATGAACTGTTAGCTCTTTGAATGCTGTATATTCTGAGAAGACAATATTCTAGGATCTCGGTTTCAATTTAAAAGTTGCGGAATCATGTTTTGAATTGCACTTGAAATCAGCATCCGGGACACATTCTCATTAAGCCGATTGCAGCTGTGCGATGTCACACACTGAACTGAGGAATAATAGAGGGCGTGCGCATGTGGGTCATGTCAACGCTTGTGTGCACCCATTCACGGATTCGAAATTACCAAAAATGCGTCACTTGACACATCTTTGTTGTTTTCTTCAAAATGACAGCATGCCAGAAAGAATAATTTCATAGGGAGTTTAAGTGCCATTACTATCCTTAAACCAAGTAACCTTTTCAACTTTTATTTTGTCAGTTACTTTTTGGATAGTTGCAACTGATCTACTCTACCTGTTAAAAAAAATCAATGGGTACTTTTTCGGGTAATCCCTTGTCCGAAAATATGGGACTCTCAATACTGTGTATGAGAGTCCCAAAACTTGAGGTACTGAAAACATTGCAATACAAGAAAATAGACAGGCACCTAGACAACCAGTCTAACACAGCTTCAGTACTGCATTAATAAACTTTGCCAAAAGAAACATGTGGCAATTTAGGAACTGGTCTCTATTTACTACACAATTACCCATAGTCAGTCGCCAGACTGATGACACTGAACGAAGAGGTCAGTCTTTCCAAACAGGTGGACCATGGTTTGACATGTACCAGTCTATAGCTTTTAGCCTCATTTTGAAATCACTCGACTTTCCTCTCATGCGCAAAACATTGAAGAAAAGTCTCCTTGAAAAATTGAGTTGAGTCTTTAAACTTGATTGGTGAAATACTGAGAACTTTTCTTTGCCCAATGACAATTTTGGAGAAGTTGGCTGACAAAAGAGTGAGTAAAGTTGGCCTGTTTTTCTTTTGCATGTTCTTGAGCACTAAAGGTCCCATTCTGGGTAATTTCACATGGTCCTACTTGGCTTCTGACAAACACTCACCTTGACGGCAGCTTGGTGTTGAGTGAAGGTGTGTACGGGCGTGGTGGGATCCCCCTGCGCGGCCGAGGGCCAGATATTGAGCAGGTTATCGTTGCCCCCGCTGGCAAGGTAACGGCCCTCTGGGGACCACTTCAGCCCACATACCTCCTGGGTGTGGCCGGCCAGGGTGGCTACCTGGTGGTTCTGGACGCGCACGTCGTGATGGTGGATGGCTCCCGATCGCGAACCACTGTGTTGCGGAGTGAATTTTAAAGATAAAATATCTGGTATGATGGATTTTTTTTTATCACGTGGGGAAGATTTACTCGTCTGTCCTCTGATACCAACTTATTTTGCTGAGTGAATTATTGATCCTGGCAAATTTTGAATTAGATATGACTCATGTTTGGGTTGAATTTTCTTTTCAGGGATTGAAACGAAGTTTCTCATTATAAACTACAAAAAGAAAAAAAATTAAAGGGCCTATGCAATATGATTTTTTTTAATGCAATCACTGAAAATGCGCCTTTGTGTCACATTGAACCTTTTTTTTCTTCAATTTTCGTTTTGCCATTTTCAAGGATATTAACGCAAATATCTATATTAAAGAGCAAAAGTGTGATGTCATTTCAGACAGAAACCTCTATGATACAGCTATTTCAGCACAAAAAGTTACCAGAATTTTGGGTATTTTTTTGTTGTACAGTTTCTTTTCTTTGGTGATTCGTTGTTGTGTCACTATATAGCAGTAAGCCAATGAGCAAACCTTTCTCACAAATGTTTTCAATGAGCAGATTTTTGGGTTCATATTTGAACAGAAAACCCTAAACTGAGCAGTGTCTTCCTGAAATGACAGCACCTTCAGTTGTCCGAAAAAACATGGAAAATTTAACTGTTTAAGAGAAGTGCACTACTGAATAAACTTTACCAAAAAGGGATTTCTTAGACACTTTAATCAAATGTCGTACACATTTTGACACGCACTAACCTGCTGAGTATGAAGTTGTTCCATGCAAGGGAACCCACTCTGGCTGCATGGCCTGACATATTACGTAACCGCTTTGTGGCAGCTACATCCCAAAGCTGAAAAAAAGACAGACCCAAAGCAAAATATCAGATTTGTCGGCAGTAAACTGATCCACTATAGTTTACTTGTTGTGATATAGTTAGGGCAGTGATTTTCCAAATAATTTAGTAATCGATTATTCCAACTTGGACTTGATCGAATGTTCAAATATTCAATTTCAAAATGCACTGATCATATTAAGCATTCATTAAACAACCTAAACTGGTGACCAATCAGAATTTGCGTGCACCTGCTGTTGTCAAAAATTGACAAAGGGGTTACTAAAAAAGAGCAGGTAGCAGAATGGCTGATATTTGAACAATTTTGAAGAAATTTAAGCTAATATTATATCAGCTCAAATTTCTTCCTTAAAATTAGTCTATATTCTTCATGGAAGCTCTCAAGTTTCCAACAAAAGTGTGGCATTTGACAAACAATAAAACCACATTTAAAATAACATCATGGAAGTTTTACAGCGCGTCCTCGAGACCACTCACACTGTTTGAACATTTGATATGGAAATATGCTACTCGGATATTGGTTGACGATCAAATGTTCTAATATTCTGTAAAGACGGCACAACCCTCCGTGGGTTTTGGTTGTATCCTTGGGCATACGAAATTCCATGACCCACATCGCAGCAAACATTATTATAAAGGACAGCTCATACTCATTACGAAACCAAATGCGAATCTGTGATGTCACGGTAAGATTTCCAGCTGTGCGCGAATTTGAAAGAGTTTAACACATTTGAGCATTCACACTCGCTTTCACGTTAAAGATATAGTCCATCATTTGTAATTTGTGCATTTTGTTCGTTTGAAGCAACAAAAGTGTTCAAAATCTAATGAAGGCTACTGAACAACTAACCTGATGAAGTTTCAGCTCAGCTTCAGCTGTATATTCCGAGAAAAACAGCATTCTAGGATCTCAATTTCAAATCAAAAGTTGTGAATCATGTTTTGAATTGGGCCTGAATTCAGCGTCCGAGACGCTTTCTCACTGAGCCGATTGCAGCTATACGCGATGTCGCGCACTGATCCGACGAATTATAGCAACCGCGCGCGCGTGTGCGTCGTGCCAATGCTTGCGCATGCTTAGCCGAATAGCCAAATGAACTACAAATTTAAATTTTCGAAAGGCCTTCTTTCGTTGATTACTTCAAAATGACAGCTTGCCAGAGAGAATAATTTCACAGGGAGTTTAGTTCCCTTACTATCTTTCAACCAAGTATGTTTTTCAACAATAATTACGCCAGTGACTTTTCGGATGGATGCAAATGATGGACTCTAGCTTTCAGTAAGAACTGGACGTGAGATGGACAGGCACAGTGAAGCTTGACAGACCTGGACGTCCCCGTTGCTGGTCCCGACGCCCAGAAAGTTGCCTTCTTGTACCCAGGACACCGAGCAGACGTAGTCCTCCTCGCCTTCCAGCTGCATCAGGTGGTTGATGCTGCCACTGCTGGCATCCCACAGGTACACGTTGTTGCCTAAGGCTACGGCGAGGTGGTTGTGCAGGCTCCAGTCAATCAGATTCAAGTCTGGCAAAGGGGGAAAGGTTTGGACGATACTTTATAAAATTACTAGAGAGCTAACGCCTTATTGAAGTTATTCCCTCGTGATGAATACCTTGGATGCGTCCTGGGTGTAGACTAGACTTGGACATTTCTGGAGAATGTGCGTGGTCGTGGAACATTTTGATAAAATTAATAAGATAGTTTGGAATTTCACTGGGTAGTTCTAAGTCATGGAACATTTGGAAATGGCGTGGTTTTCGAAATATAAAACAGAAACTTCAGGCCATGGTGCAGTATTTGCTCATTTGCCACTGATGCATTTCAGTTCTGGGCTTATGGGCTTCAATTAAGCCTCAGCTTCGAATACAAATGCAGATATTGAAATAGCGATTCCAAAGCCGTACAAAGTTTTCCATAGGTGTGTATGGCAAGTTAGCTCTCTGGTACTTAAATACAGTTCAGTGTATTAACACTAATAACAGTGCCATAGTCGAGTCCACCGCAAGTTGTCACAATTCCATCACAGATCAATCACAAGTCATCCAGTCCCAAATCAACTCACAAAAACTATTCAAATGAACTGTGACAATTTAAGCATTCTTTCATAATTCTTCATTCCCTGTTGTGATGGTCTGGGGAAAGCATTTGCGGGTTTCTCAACTATACAGTGAACTGATGTCTACCGGTACATGCTTAAAATGGCGCCGACCAGAGACTGCAAGCCAATATATATAGCTCAAATGGCATAGCCCATTTTTTTTTTAAATTTCAGTCTAATAAAGGTTCAGGAAAGTGCATTTCAATGAGCATCAATTTAAGTTAACCCATTAGTTCTGTGCTGCCCAAAACTGCCCTGGCCTTTTACACCCTGTAACACCCAAACCTCCTGGGCACTCTGGTTTTATGTGCATACTTTGCGCCACACGCGCACGAACCAGTATGTGTAATCAGTGTGCCCCTCTGTATTTGTAAAGTGTTCGTGAAGCACCCATCTACTGCTTGTGCTCGGAGTGTTAAAAGCTAGCCATTTGAGTAGCTAACAGTCTCTATGGAGAAAAACAACATTCAATAAAAAAAGGACATGTGATGATATTTACAGTAATCGTCAAGGATGTCCGGTGCATCCAGAATCCTTTCTGGGACCTGGGGTATGTGCCTCACTGACTTCTTGGTCGAGCCTGGTGTCTTGGTGTGACTGTACAACACCCGTAAGTTGTTCTGGAAGCCTGCAAAGACAAGAAACAAAAGCTCAATTAACCCCCTTAGTGGGAAATCAATATTTTGAGGAATGCGTAAAATCCTAAGTGAAGGTGCTAACTCTATGGGCAAAAATGCAATACTTGAAGATTTGTGAAGTGCAGAAGACCAGTAGGGTTAATAGCAAAATACAATTAAAAAAATTATCAATCTGGGAGTGTTTAGGGTGAATGTATTTTTCAAAATGTGGATTTCGAAGAGCTTAATTTTTTCAATCTAAACAGAATAATAATCTTATGGATGAAAAAAATGGCAGGAAAGGAGTTAATATGCCACTAATTTTTGTTTTCAAGTAAACTGCTATTTTCTGTCTTTTCAATATGAATATTAAAGACATTCTTTTTTCGAAAGGTTAAAATATAATTCTTTTCACTCTAAGTGAAACTCCACAGTTCAGTTGAAAGGTGACTTAAGTTAGGAAAACACTCTGTATAGTGCCCTAACCAAGGGCACTGGTGCCCCTGGGTCAGCACTTCTTAGCGCACGAAATCCACACAATTTTGCAGCAAGTGACCCACCGACAATGCCTGTTAAAGAAACCCAACATCACAATTCAAATCTCGGAAGTTGCTGCTCAGATTGTTCGTAAAGGTCCGCATGATAATACTACTGCATCGATGCAACAGCAAGATACAAGTGTGTACACTGTACAGTGAGCTTTATAGTGTAAACTGCAACTTTTGCGAGTGTAGTAAACATGAAATACGTTTTGTTTTCTCATGTGGGCTGGTTTTCATTTTGAAAATTCCCCACAAATGACATTCAAAACCTTTCTTTTTCATCGTCTGAGAAGTAACTACATGTACTATAATTTGTAAAGTTGTAAGTTACGGGTACCCAATCCCTTAATGTGGAGCTTGTTCCTGACATCGTCGGGTACTTGGTTCCAATGCAGAGCCCTACTGCGTTTCCTTCATTTTTATGAAGGAAATGCAGGACTGTTGTCACAAAGATTTGTCGGTAGGTCACTTTAAGGTAAAGGTTCCATAGCCATTACTGACCGTAGGGGCCGGCAGTGGGATGTTAGAGGTCCACTGTGTCTTGGGCACGGCATATGAGTGGCAGTGCCCAGTCCTCTCCTCTCGCCGTCTCACCTTCCCTGAATGAATCAGGTACCCATTTTACTGTTGGGTCGTCCAAGAGAGTTTTCCAGTTTTTGGTCCGAATGGGATTCGAACCGCCAACCTTCCACTCCATAGCTCCACGCTCTAGCCGCTCGGCTACGAGGCCCCTATAGGTCACGTGCCATAAAATTTTGTGGATTTCATGCGCAAAGAAGTGTTGACCCAGGGGCACTTGCTTTACAAAAAAGTTCCAAATTAGAGCCCTCAGGTATGGTTGTGGAATGAGCAAATGTGAATCCCTTCTTTGATCTAAGTACCTTCGGGTGCTACCGGCGGCCTGTTTTTGTAGGACAGTATCTTGGCATTCAGCAGGTCGCCGTTCAGATTATCTGACATGGTCTTGCAGTAGTCCAGCTTCTGGGGGCTCTGGGTCTCCTGGTTCTCCTGGTTGCTGACAGACGAGTTCAGGAGCTTGAACGCGCTGATGTCAAAGTTGGTGCCGCTGCGATTGGGGATGAAACGATCGCCTACGGGCAACTTGGAGGGGGTTTTGCCTGTAAAATAAAATTCCCAAACCAGTCAGAATTGCTTATGTTTTTCTCAACTAATTAGAACCTTTAAACCTGCTGAATCCCACAGGATCCAACTATATCATATACCCGATGGAGCCTGTTGGATTGAGCAGTAAAACCCCTTGTGTACATTCCTGATGCAAAATGTTGGATTCAGCAGGCAACTGAACAGCATTATAATGCCAAGTTGGACTCCGTTGGATTCAGCAGACAACTGAAAATAAGGCACAGTGGATTGTGCGGGAAATAACTCCGGTTCGACTCTGTTGGATTTAATTAGCAGGGTCGTCCTGAGGAGATTATGATGGTTTGGTATGGAGAAAGCTGCATAATGCAGACACTGAACAGGAAATCCCCACCAAAAGAAATTAAATACTTTAGACAATCAGAATCTTGTATGAACTAACCTTTTAAGACAAAAGTATTCGGAAAGTATTGCCGAGTACTTTTCAAGTACTTTTAACGTACTTCTTACCCAAAAGGTAAATTAACAAGGGGTTTTATGTAACCAAAGTCTCAACTTAATTTGTTTTCTAACACTGACTTCATTTTTTTGTCTGCTATCAATGTTTCTCTTGCGTTGTTCGCAAGAAACAGCTCAATACTTGGTAATAAACAAAGTACTCGGAAAGTACTCGATTACAACTCTGCTTTCTACCTGGAGTTTTAGACTTCTTGCCACTGGGAGTCCTGGACTTTGAAGGTGTCTTGCTGAAGGAGTGATTGGACGTCTTCATGGGCGAGATGCCGCTCACATTGCCCAGGCTCTTGCTCAAGCTTCGATTCAGGCTCTTGTTTAAACTCCTGTTCAAGGAGGCATTGCACATGGACGTCTCTGTGGCCTTGCGCTGCCACCGCATGGCAGGGCCGCCCATGGGTCCATCCAGCCTTAAGAGACTGTTGACGTCACTTTCAAAGTTGAGATGTGTCATTGTAGTTCTTTCTCACAAGCAGCTAAATGTCTATAAATTAAGGAAAAAAAAGACTTTGTCAAATAATAAATTTTCAAATTTGTCTCCATTTAGCCTTAAGAGACTGTTGACATCAATTTCTAAGTTGAGATGTGTCATTGTAGTTCTTTCTCACAAGCAGCTAATGTCTGTAACTGGAGGTCAAATAAACCTTCACATTTTTGGCAACTTGAACACAGTCGAACACCTTATAAAAAGGTCCTTGCGACTTTACAAATTACCTTGGTATAACAGGTACCTTGTATTAACAGTAATGGAAAACAATCATGTTATATAACAGGTACCTTGTATTAACAGTAATGGACAACAAACAAAAACAAAGACTTAGGACCTAATATTTTGCTCGTTATAAGCAGAATGCTGTATTAACAGTGCTCTTCTTATCAGGATTCGATTGTAACACAATTTTTTAATGCTGTGGCTATTGTTGTATGTGTCGACCGTCTGGTTCCCTGACCTGGCAATATTCAATGTCAGGATCGTTTGGTCTCGAAACCGGACATCAGCCGAATGGTACTCAGACTTTGTTTCCCTTAAAAACCAAAAATGCTACAAAGCCACAGATCACTAAGAAAAAATTGAAGTCTACTTCAAAAAAAAGAGAATGATTTGATGTATAACATAAAAGTAACGAAAACTGGTACCTTTTGCTTGGTAGTCCAACGTTTACCCAATTGAGCTAGCAAAGCACTATGGTTGGAATTGTGTAATTATAAATGTGATATAATGTTTACTAATTCTTTTGTTTTTTTGGCAAGTCCATAACAATAGCTGTTGTCAATCACGTTACGGCTGCCATAACGATAGCCTCCTTTTTGTGTTTTTTTTTAATGTTGCAGTAATTCTTGTGTATCTGTCTTTGTTGTAATACAAAGATTTGAACAAGAATCAAAGCTGAACACTTGAAACATTCGAAAATCTGTAAAAACGAATACATGCATTGTTTGTAGGCCTATCACTTGAAAAGTATTCATCTCTCCAAAGAAGGCTTTTCCAAGTTCTGTTAAATTAAGTTAACTAATTTTAAACAAATTTTCAAACTGCACGTAAATGGTGTAGGCCACTAGTCACTACTTTAAATTTCTTCTGTTTTGTATAAAACAGTAAATTGTAATAATTTTAATAAAATAAATAACTTGTGATGCTTTACACTTTCCATGCATCACCAATCTCCACGCGCTTAATACAATTACAATTGTATCAATCAATGTCATCTTTATAAAAAAAATTGACAAAGTTACATACACTAGGTTCCAAATTGTAAAAAAATATCGTTTTTATGGCAGATTTTCAATGCGATTTTCAACTGCTAATGCTATCGTTACTGTATTGCAAAATCACCATTGTGAATCTATTATACCCATCCAACCAGAACGCTTTGGTGTCTCGTTTGAAACCGTTACCGCGCTGCTCATTAAATAAAAAAAAACAACACCAATTTTAATAGTTTTCTTTACTTTCATGTCATGTTTTTAATTTTAATCAAATCACTCTTTTTATAGATTTCCATTTATTTCAGTAGATTTCAATTTTCCCTTCATAATTCGTAATTCCGTGGCAATTGGCATGAGTTTGGAGGAATTCTGGAGAGAAATTTGCATCCTGACGCCACTTTTTTTCATGAAAAAAAAAATGTTTTTCAGTCCCAGATTCATGTCTTTGCAATTGTGTATTTGCAATGATGACCTTTTATGGGCAATGGTAGGCTAGTTAAAAGGTCATCATTGCTAATTCACAATTGCAAAGACATGAATCTGGGACTGAAAAAGCATTTCCAATTTTGTTACAAACTCGCGTTGCGGCTGCCGTATCGATAGCCATTGCGAAACATGCCAAGAGTTGCCAAGAGTCAAGACATGAATTTTGAAAGATGAAATGGTGCGAAGTGACGCAGTAGGCCATACAGTTTCGTCTTACATGTCTTAGAAAACGACACCGAACAACCTCCATGGAATAACACAATGGTAAACAGAATAGTTCTTATGCTGAAATAAAACAGTCATAAACACAATTGTTCGTTAAATCATGAATGCATTCTTTCAAAACACAATAAAACAAGACATTTATGTAACGACAAATTACCTCCTCCTTCGGAATTTACATCAGCAGCTGTGTACAGTGTATGCATCATATCAGTGCATGCGCTATGCATATTATGCGTGGTCCGGTCCAGTTGTTATTTTGTCAATGGGCATTTAAATGACCCGCGTTGTGATTGGTTCGCAGCAACGCACATATCGTTTCCGTGATTGGTCCGTTACGAGACCATGGAAATAAACCTACGCTACGTGGCTTGAGAACGGGATTAAAAATGTTATCCATACTTCTTGATATCTGTTACTTTTGAAATTGCATACTTTTGTTTCCAATTTATGTTTGCAATTAATCTTATATTATTCATTTTGCTAACCATTCTGTTTTTGTTATGTTTAGTGAAAAGTACGTTGTAAAATCTCACCACTTGCGAGATTTGCCAAAACAAGATGGCAGCCCCCATGAGTAGTTTGACGTGTCAAAAGCGTGTTCGGTTTTTGTGCTCTGTTTATGCCGTTTTCATAAGCACTTTCCCAATTCTTGCTTTTGCAGATTATCATTTCTATTCTTTTTCTGCCAACGATCCAAGAGGCATACAAGTTTCTTTAAATGCATTTCGTGGAAAGGTGATGATAAATTTTCGGCACACACGCCGTGCATGCCCAGATACTAACCTGCTAATCGCTATAGTATAAACGAGTTACGTAGACCATGGAGGAATGCGTAGACCATAGTGCTCTATGCGTAGACTACTATGCTAAAGCCGTAATGATATAGGTCTACATTACATGTACTACACTAGAACTAGTAGTAATAAGCAGGTTTGCCTAGCATAACAAATTAACATAGGGCCAACATGATAGGCCTAAATCATGCTACGATGATGTTGTGCATACTACTAATGAATTTCGGCATACATCCTTTTGGGTCAAATGTTTTATACTAAATTGCACAATCATGGAGCCCAATACATTAACACTTCAAAATAAGCCGTTTTTAAGAAGTGACATTGCATGAACATTTGTAATGATTTTTTTTTGAGTTAAGACCGTAGTTTTCCGCAGTATTTTTTTCATTGACAGACTATATACTGACTTATTGAGATTGCCCTAAATTTGGTGTATTTCAACGTTGTCAAACATAAAGAAAACAAATATCTACCATGACTGATGTGAATGTCTGGATATTCCTAAAAACACTTTATTCTACAGAATTTATAGAAACAAACCCTTTCAAAAAGATATAGTGTACTATTTGCTGGATATAAACTTGACTTTATTATACAAAATTCCTTGAATTTCAAGTTGTGGGTTTTTAAGCAGACGGTGTAGATATTCTTAATGTCTGAATTCAAATTTAAAAGTGACTTCCTTTTTTCTGTTCTCTGCTTATGCAGAAAATCATTGGCAGCCAGTGCAATATCAGTGTTTGTTTTAACTTTCCAGTTTGAACCTGAAACACAATGAGTAGGACTCCATTTGCTGTGGAAATGGCTTTCTTCTTGGCTTCAAGTAGGTTAAACTTTTAAGGCAGCATTAAATATTTTTCGGCGATATTTTATAACACTTTGTGATATTTTTTCGTATATTATGTATATAAATAATGCTTATAATGTTCTGAAACATTAAAGTTTTAAAAAAACTTATATTAAAATCTTACATCTCAATTGATCCACAAATATCCCATAATAAATGCCAGCATGTTACTTGACTCATTGTCCCCACTTATTCACTGCACAGTGCATTTTGCAGCGAGCATCTTTGCATGCCTCCCATAAGCAATCAAGCGTTCATGACTTCTCTTTTGTCGCACTTGCTTTTGTCCAGAATGATTGACGTCATGTCCCTTTGTGCATGCCCCTCATCCACTTCCTATTGATGCGCTGCATGCATGATGCGCTGCATGTCAAGGTTTAAGCATGATAAATGGTCGTACCTTCAGAAGCGTTTAACGCTTTCTGAACTAAACGTGAATGTGAAACTTTATGACCGTTTTGTAACGATAATTTGAAAGCTTTATCTCGAGGTTGAATTTGCATTGTCATTTTGTCCGAGTTGTTTCATTTGCTAGCTTTTTTTGTAAATTATTACGATCTCTATGTCTTTCATAACTGTACCAAAAGCGTTTATTTCCTTTATACAGGGCGAGCACAAACAAAACGAAACCCAAATAGCAGGACCAATTTTTGAATGAAATTTTGCCTGTAGCAAAATCTCGGATATGAAGCCCAATCAATGAGATTTCTTTTAGTACAGGAATCATTCAAATCAGTCATGTACTTTTCAAGTTATATACGGAATTTGAACACAAACACCGTTTCAATTAACTTCTGTCCACGTATCACAAAAAAGGTAAGTGTTCTTTCAGCAAAACGATAACAATTCACATGCATCCGCATGATCAAAAACCCAATCTAGGGAAATCCCGACAACTTGTTATAATTTTTACAGGATTTATGGTGGAAGGGGGCACACAATTAACAGAACTTCCTCTGTTAGCCAAGAAATACAGGCAGCCCCTCCCCCCCCCCCAAAAAAAAAATTCAACCCTAAAACATTTGTCTTAAAAAAGGGATTTGTTGATTTTTATGTTTTGGGTATCGGATGAAAGCTGGGAGCTTTTTCTTTCAAATACTAAAAAATATCATGAAAATGGCACTGGGTTGTTGAGAAAATGCCAATGATGTAAAAGTCGGCTATTTTTCATCCTGTTCACAAGTACTTCAAACATTGAAACATTTTACTGTAAGCCTACTGTGCAATTATCCTTCCTTTTGTGCAATTTCGTTTTTAGTATTTTGATATATTCATGATGCTGCAATTATGGGTTTAAAATAAGACTAAAAAGGATGAAGTATAAAAGGCATTTCCATCAAATTAATTTGTGCTCATGTCATATTATGTGCCGTGTTGTTTGTAAGGATAAGGACATGCACAAATATGTACATGTAGAGTGAAAATCCCTTACTGCAGTAAGGGATTTATGTAAAAGTACTCATTTATCATCCTGTACACAAAACATAACCACAGTATACTGTGGTAATGTTTTGTGTACAGGATAACAAATGAGTACTTTTACATAATTGGCATTTTCTCAGCAACCATAAGTGATTGTTACTTGCTTTTTTCAGTATTTGAAAGAAAAAAGCTCTCAGCTTTAATCTGATGTATCAAAAACATACAAATCCACCAATCCCTTTTTGTTTTGTTTTAGGGTTGTATTTTTTTTTGGGGGGGGGGGGGGGGGGTCACACTGTATTTTTCCCAGTGATCCTACAAGAAAATTGTAAGATGTGCATAACGACACTGATGCAGCAATGAACATTGTATTTATCAGTTGCATTTTAATTTTGGTCTTTCTCTCTAAACACAGCCTGCTCTAATTGTTAACGTAGCCAGTGAATGTGGTTACACCAAGAGCCACTATCAGGATTTGGTTTGGCTCAGCCAACAGCCAGAGATTGACGAGAAACTGCACATCTTGGCCTTTCCATGCAACCAGTTTGGCCAGCAGGAGCCGGCTAGCGACCGGGAGATCCTGGCTCATGTCCAGGAGACGTACGGGGTGGCCTTCCCGGTCTTCGGCAAAATTGACGTCCTCGGGAAATATGCCCACCCAGCTTACACATATCTGATCAGTAAGGAAGTTTATTGCACGCTCTATGGGCCTTATTCACGAGTCGGCCATATTGAATTGAAAGTTAGGTACAATCTTAATTTTTAGAGCTTGCGAAGAGAAATGAAAGTAACTTAATTTATAATAAATTCCAGTCTGCTTCAATGAATAATTAAAAATTTGGAATTAAACTTTCCCTAATGTTTAAAGCCATATTAAATAAAAATTACAGTAAAACAAGGCTGCACTGTGCCTACATAAATAGTCTGGCGCCTTCCCATTCAACAATTAACAAATAATGACATACATTCTTGAAGTTGTAGGGTTAAGGTGAGACACAATCGAAATTCCATTCATTCGCTTTCGACCATATATTTTGTTTCGTGATTTTTTTTTTTTGGGGGGGGGGATTTACCTTAAAATATCTTAGCATATGTGCATACTCTTGTTGAATTTGGAAAATATTAGCACTGACCGCCCGTATTTATTTATTATATTTTCAATGTTATTTACGTCATCTTTAATGAGGGTAAACTCCGATCAGTGCAGGCATGGTGCAGGACACTGCTTTTCATGGAGGCCCTCAATATGAGAAATATGAGACTCATTATGTCGCACCTTTTGTCAGGTGTATTACGTTACCTACATAGGAAAATGTATTTGGAAATATCTAGAGGGGGATAAAATATTCAGAGGATCAACGCCTTTTTTAGGTTGACTTTGTAATGCAAGAAAAACAGTGGCGGTTTTACTCATTTATGAGGAAGCCATTTCCGATCGTAGACCCTGAATCGATGTTATAAATTGTAAACAGTTGAATGCGATGGTGCCAGACTATTTTATGATTGGAGTGCGTGTCAAGCCTCACTTTCAATTAAGATTTTTTTTTTATGTGGCTTAAAACATAATAGGTTATGTTTAATCGCAGATTTTAAATTATTTATTATACCAGACTCGACTGGTATTAATTTGTAATTAACTTTAATTTCGTTGCTTTCATTTGTATCCGCAAATTCCAAAATGAAGACTTAACCTCGCTTTCAATTTGATATGGCCGACTTGCGAAGAGTAAATAGGCCTAAACCCATCCGCCGAGCTCATGAATAAAAGTTATACATGTACTATCAAAATATTCTACTAAAAGATAGTTCTGAAAGCCATACAACTTGGGAAAATGAAGAGATATGGCAATGAACCTTAGGCTCAGATCATGCTCGGACGGACTTGGAGATTCCAGTTCTGAGCGTTTTGGATGCAATCGGGCTCGAAACCCTGGCGTTATTTTGCCATTTTGCTATTTTGTGGAGGGATCGTTTTTCAAGATGGCTTCCTTTCCGCTTTGGGAAAAATAGGGGTCGTCTTCTTTGGGTGACAGTTTCTCAAAAAGTCAAACGTCAACCCACCAAAAAATTGAAAAGAAAATGAAACATGACTTCGTTTTTCTGTGCAGCTTAAATACCTGCGAATGATCCGAGTATTTATAAATAATTTTTAATACATGTGTATGGGCATTTAGCACTGGTGTCTATAGGAATTTTAGTACATGTGTACAGGGGTGCATCCATATACATTGTCTTGCATGTACCATGTACCACCAGTTTCTGTAACACACTGCAGTTGTGCACCTAATGGACCCAGTAAGCTATGAGCCGGCAATTTATAGCTCTTGTTGGGCTTGGATCTTTTGTGCCATTGTGATCAATGTGTTTGTGTTTGTCATCTCTTACGTAACAATGCGAGGTTCTAATTCCCTAACTATCCATGAAAAGCAATACATGCGCATGCGTGGCTTATTATAGTATGCCGAGTATAAAGCTAAAATGCGTTTAACATAATAACAAGTCATTTAACATTACTGCACATCTGGCCTCTGTTTGCAAAACTTTCATAAACAACTTTACGAATCAAAATAGAAAAATTGCGTGTAGAACGTCTAGTTCTACACTCAACCAACCGTTTTTTTTTCACATGGCGTTACCCGCCATTTTTCTATTTTAGAAAACCTTCAAGGCATTTAACTACATTCAACCAACTCCGGTTCTTTTCAGAACCACACTTCTTCTTAGAAGAGATTTCTTTCCACATAGTGTTACCCGCCAATTTTCTTTTTTAGAAAACCTTCAAGTCAATTATAGCTTTACGAATAGTCAAACAATTTTTAAGAGTGTATTTTCTGACGACTGCATAGCATGCATTTGGTCAATTATTTTTGGTCAATTTTCGGGGACCGACCGACCATGAAATTATATGTAGAATCTTAAAAGTCGTCACGTTTGTAGGGCCTATGCCAATGTGAAGAATTTTATTTCATATTGTCCTAATAGGAACTGTGTTCTAATACAAATTAGAATATTGATGACACGTGGTTATATTGTACTTGACAAATTATTAAGATTCCGCCAATTTTCCGTCCAGATGCTTCGGGAAAACAGCCCAACTGGAACTTCTGGAAGTACCTAGTGGACCGGCAGGGGCGAGTCATCGATGCCTGGGGGCCCTCGACCAGCGTGCGGGAAATATACGGCTTTCTGGTGGCAGCGACGAAGACCGGGTCTGGACGACGGGACGAGTTCTAGCTAACTGCTAGAATCGGTATTAACCCCAACTCCTTCGGCATTTTTGCAAGGATGCAACTTCAATCATGCAATATCTTCCAACTGACTCCATGAAAAAAACAGGTGTATAGCCTAAGGTGTATAAACACACAAGGTCCGGCTCAAGACATTGACACAGTGCATCCTCTAAAATCAGTCAGCCACGCATTTGTGCCATAGAGCCTCAATCCTGCAAAAGCATCCATTTTGCAAAGAGGATTTTGAAGGATTTGGGAAGGCGAGGGTTAATACACATCATGAACACATGAGTATGAAACCTCTTTTTGTTCTTTTGTTAAAGGTTAAGAGTCTTCCAATGCATATTGTAACCAACCAACAAAAAAATAACCATTTCGAGTGTGGATGTCGTTTTTCCAATAAAATCAAAGGGAGTCTTTTTTTTTTGGAAATTAATTTGCAACTTGCATGGACCACTGCAGTTGGGTTTGGCCCTTGTTGATTTTTTTTCAGTTCTAATAATTTCGCCACGATTCTTGCCAAGAAATCAGCAACGACATGTTATAGACGAACATATATATGTTATGGTAACATTATATGAAGTGGCTTAATATATTTATTGAGCGTAGAAACTCGTATTGTAGTTTTTACATTCACTATAACAAAATAGTTTCCGTAATCCGTATGCAATTAAAAAACAAACCTCAAGACACTTGTGTGCATTGACAAGTTAAAGATCATTTCAGATTTCATATAGTTACCATTTAATTAACATCTAGCTTAAGCTCGTGGCCTTTAATTATTGAGGCAAATGAAAAATGAACCTTGATCCAAGCATTTTGAAAGCACCAGTATAAAACATGAATGCGATTTATAACAATGTTGTGTACGGTCCGTATTCAGTCATGGGTGCAGTAAATTATCTTTAAGCGGAATAAAATAATTGCTCTTCTTAAATGAATGTGCTCCTATAACTATGTTACATAGCCGATCTACATTCAGTTGCTTTACGTATCATGTACATGTACATGCACAAGTACACTGCACATAACTGATTGCCACGTGCTATCAGAAATTATTAGCATATATTATGAAACAATTCATTTTTGTAAAAAATACCGTTTTCACCGAAAACGTAAACCCATTACAGACCCGTATACACAAGGAAGAGGTAATGACATGAGCAAAAGTGAATAAGTGGAAACACAATTTTTAGTGGTGTGCATGAACGGGTCTTGCGGGAACAGCAGGTAACCTATTTATTAGTACAACACAGGGTTCAAGGTACCCGTAAAGGAACCCAACCCTAAATTCAAAAACCCAGGAAGATGTCTGAAGGCTTTCGTACAATGTAGCTTTACGGTGTGAGCTGCACGTTCAACTTTTGTGGGGTCATCTTTCGCGCGTTTAAATGCACACAAAACGCGAAATCTGTTCAGTATAGAAGTTTTTAAAAACTCTCCATCAGAAGCATTCCATTTCCACACTATTTTTGTCCAAGAATTGTAAATACGGTCGAACCCTCATAAGAAGAGCACCGTTAATACAACATCCTGCTTAAAACAAGGAAAATGTTAGGCCCCAAGTCTTTTTCTTTGTTTTCCATTACTGATCATACAAGGTACCTGTTATAAACAGGTAATTTGTAAAGACCCAAGGACCTTGCTATAAAGGTGTTCGACTGTATTATATTGAAGCAACTTGTAAGTTGGTTACGGCTACCCGATCTCATAATCTGGGTATAGCCTATAGGCCTACTCGGGTACCCGGCTCCGATCAGGCACACCGACACGACACGAATGGTGTTCATTTAGTGTCGAGTCGCTGCAGTGGATGATTCTTACAAGTGCATAAATGGCAATATGTGAGCACAGCTGAGAATTTGAATCAAACAGCTATGCCAACATCTTGCCTTCTCCACACCCGATCTGTGATCCAAAGCGTAGTTACTCAAGCATCACTGCCTCTGCATATCTGTGGAGACAAAAAATATCAAGTACCTTGAGAGTATAAACGTACAGTCTCACTGATGGTTGGATTCGTTCGCTGTGCTGTCGACAACTGCGAAGATTGGGCAAGTGGACAAATGGCAATATGTAGGTACAGCTGGTTTTTTGGCAACAACAGCTATGCCAACATCTTGCCTTTTCTACACTCGCTAATTTGAACATGTTCTTTAGCAGCTTCAGTGGGCTCCACAACAACCAGCGATGACCACTCAAAAGTTACGTAAGATTGTGTGCACGTCACATGGGCACGCCTGGCGAAGATCAAACATTGCATGAATAGGCCAAATGAACACAAGAGGAGAATGGCGGGCTTGCAGTTTGTACAAGAACAATACATGTTTAAAGTGATGGTAAGAACATGGTCGTACAGAAAATCAATGTTACGGTGTATAGGAATTGTACTCGGAATTCGGTGCACATCCTGGAAGGTTACTGTTCCTCCTGAAGGCATTTACAAGTGACAAAATGGCAGTATGTAGGCACAGCTGAAAATATGTCGTTGGACACAGCTATGCCAACATCTTGCCTCTTCGGCACTCAAAAGTATCAATGGAGAAAACCTGGCAATGGCAGAAACAGCAAAATTTTTAAATTTTTCGAAGGTGTATGCTGGTATGTTTCCCCAGGCCCCATGGTGCTATTCAAAAGGAATTGCTCCACGGTTGTCAGGCGAGATCTTCAAGCAACAGGTCGTTGGCAACTGCACCCATGATAAGAGTTCTGAGAGCATAACATCGATATGCGCATAACAGAGAATTAACAGAATTTCATTAATTAAACGACATGTGCGCTACATCAATTATCAGTACACACGTACAAATGTACAGTGGGTTTAATATAATCAACAATACCCTGACCTTCCATGTCAAAACGACAACATGACATACCAAAATCGTGTGAGATTTTAACCTCGGCACAGCAACATACCAACATGCAGACACGCTGTTAAACAAGTGGGCTAATGTACATCCAAAATAAGACACCACCGATATAATTAAGGCACCATTAATTATACCAACCATTAGCCGCATCAAGCCTAACCAACAACGGAGATGCAGGCCTATACTATAAATAAATGCAGGAAAAAAAACCGGCAGTGTTACGGATAACTAGCGTGCGAACTGACCTTGAGTGCGATACCAGTGTTTAATTACGGCCCAGCGCTAAACGCTCATACACACTACGCAGCGCAAAATGGACCACAATTCCACAGCATATTAGCAACGGGCCAAAGGTCCTTTTTCTTTGCATTGTGATAAAGATAAGCCGGGGTGTGTTCTATGTATACAGGTTGATTTTAAACCGTAGCGTGGCATATTTACCTTATTGATTGAGCCGTACCACGTTCCGTTCAAATACTGAAATCGCATGCGCGTAGGAATTGATAAAAAAAAACCACATCAAACCCGAAACCTGCCTGAAATTTAAAGTGAATCCTGAATTTTGTGCATACCTTCTAAAACCACATCTTGCTTAAAAATGTTGTGTGGATGTTTTGCGATTAAAGACAGTAAATTGTCCAAGATGGTACAGAAAAGTAATTCGATTTTGTAAGCCAAACAATAAATGGTACACTTAACTTTTTTCCTTAGGGAGTAAAGCTACAAAAAGGAAGCCAGATCGTTAAAAATGCAGCGTTTTGTTTCCATGACATGAAGAGCTTCCTTGCTCCATGCATGCATGGATACCTTCATGTACATGTACAGTATATCATGGTATGGATTTTTTTTCATCTGCAAATACCACGATAAGACCATTACGTAACAACCAATTGTGCCAACCCGCACGTTGAATAGACAGTATTGACTGAAAGCATTTGCGGTACAATCACTACCTGCGTGACGGAATCATTCCCATAGTGCTAGACTTAAAGTGCAGAGGATGATAATGTGGGATTTCTTAGAAACACAAATTGGCGGGAAACTGTTGACCGCAGAGCCAAACTTCGCATTCAGCAAATGGTTAAATTCGAGCATTTTGGTGACAAATTTTATTTCACAAATCCCCGGAGTGACAATTGGCTTGTCAAAAAGCACACGTTTGCCAAGAAATTGTCAAAAAATAAAGGTTTTTCACAAAAGATTTCGTAATGGTTCCATTGGTAGGTCAAGGTTCACGGGTTGAAGCGCAACTCGTGGAACTTTAAAAGATCTCGATCAAAAGGACAGTTCTACAACTTTGAGAACTTCAATGAGAATTTTGTTTTGGAACTGTAAAAGATCTTGATCAAAACATGGAGGAAGGAACAAAAACATGATCAAAAGGACAATCTACAGTACAACTTTGAGAATTTCAATAAGAATTTTTGTTTTGTTTTATGTTGGTAGACCCATGCAACTACAGTATGGTTGACCTCTGTATCGTATACGCGTAAAGAAACGTTGGTAACATTTGAGCACCAGTCGTCGACACTAGTACAAGTACTCGCGGGAAAATGACGACGCACTATTCACGAACCCCCAATGCAGTATTAACACGATCAGATGAATGGTTCAACAATGGGGCTATCGGGTCACTGAGCAATCGATATAGCGTTAGTGGTGGTTGGTGGCATGGTACAAACTCGCATGATATTCGATTGGGAAAATGGCCTCTAAATTTCATGGACTACGAATATAAAATTTGTGCATGGCAACATTAAATTTAGGCAAACTTGGGCGGCGAGGCGCAGGCTATACGCATAAAGGTAGCGCAGAGATGCAACACGTGTAGTTAAAAAAACGTGATAAAACTTCACATTATTTTGTACTGCTAGTTTTAATGATAAACGAAAACTGTTAAGTAAACGGAAAAAACCAAGCAGAGGGATTTGATGGATACCATAAGTTCAATTATCTTTTGCAGTTCTACATGGACACTGTATATGCAGGATGTTAATCACAACTTACCATCACGTCACGGTTGGCTCAGTGGGGATGACACCGTTGGATTGCCGGTCGATTTTCCTCTCGGTATGCGGTAGCGTAGGACGTGACGCGGTGAATGGCGGTTGTGGGTAAAGTACGGCTACGAGATGATCGCCATCGCTTCCATGTCACGAATGCCACCACGAGGCACCGGAACCGCCTTTAAATTCGCACGGCCCAGTGGGTTTTCTCTGTGGGTACGGACGCAGGGCGTTCCACCACTCATCTGTGTTTTCAACAGGTGAATAATGGAGGCTAACACCACGCCGTGACCGGTCCCCCACCCGATCACGCAGTAGGCCTTACTCGCCAACCACCCCATGCCAATAAAATGCCGCATTCCACTGCACTATTGTTTGCTGGTTTTTGTATTATAGGCGTTCTACGTGCACCATTGACATTCAAATCACTTGGCTTTTGTGTTTTCTTGGTGACCCAATCCATGGTGGTGAATGTAGGGTAACGACAACCACGCATCACTGCTTACGACCATAGAGTAACCCTGCTGCACAACAGAGATCCTTCCACTCGTTGTATAGCATTTTCGCAGTGTATACCACCTCGCGTGTACTGTATGTGACCTGTGCCGTGGTTGGGGGAAAATGGGCGGGCTTTCTACAGCTGACCAGCAAATAATGAAGCGAAGGGTTAATTACTCAACACAGCCAGGTTTTTAATCCGGTTTTTCAGGGGTCTCATGCATAACAATAGTTGGCTCGATGATGACTGATTGTGTTGTCTAGGATACAGCAAACGAACGGAGGGGTCTTCACACACAAAAAGCCATAGCTCTCCCAACCCTAATACAAACACTCTGCGTTTTAGCCACTCGCACGCTCTATCATGTGGATTAAAAAAGAAAAGGCTTTTAGAGCTAGACTTAGCTTTTTTTTTCCTTTTGGCGCGAAGCCTGCTTATGCAAAGAAAGAGTGTAATTTGAAAGTTTGCTTTAATTTGCCAGTCGTATGGTGATTAGCGACTTAATTGACGGCGGCAACCGGAGGGGGGGGGGGACTTTTGTTTAGAA